GGAAGGCCGGGGCCTCCCAGGCCAGGAGCGGGCTCCAGCCCGGAGTTGCCTGGCGGTGCGGACGCAGGTGCGCTGCCTGGGAATCCCTGCTGGGACTGCCCATTCGCACTGTTCCCGAGAGGCCCTTGCCTTCCTACCCTATCTTGCCGCACCCAGGCCCCCTGCTCGCGTCCCAGATCCGGCCTTTACCAGACGTCGGGGCTGCGCAGGGCGAGTCTCAGCAAGTACAGCGCAGCGCTGCCCATTCCCAGACCAATGAAGCCGATCATCGGGATGAGCTGCGGAGAAGACGGAGGGCGCTTTCAGGGTCAGCCCCTCTCCCCGCAGTCCCAGTCGCCTCTTAACGACCTTCTCAGCCAGCACCCGTCCCCACCCCCACCCGGGTCTGGCGCTCCCTCCCTTCTGGGAGAGGGGACCTGGAACCTTCCACAGCACATTTCCAGCCTTCGTCTCCCTCACCCCACGGCGAGCCGCTCCGAGGTGGATTCAAGAGACACGGGGCATATTGCCAGGCTAGATTGAGGGCACGCTGGAAAAAGCTTAGGAGCAATGGGGGAACCGGGCAAGAGGGAGATTTAGGGGCCGCCAGGGAAGCGAGAGAATTAGGAGTTAGTTACAGTGGCTCCGAGGACCCAACTCACCGCGGGATGTCTCTTGATCTGCCGGTAGAAGCGGGCCCCGACACTCGTTCCCGCCATATCGCCTCTCCTGTGTCAGATGTTCCCCAGCGGCTCTGCTCCCTCACTCCTCTTGGGGTCCCGCCCCCGGCTGGGGAGGGGTCAGCCCAGCCCTGCACGGCCCGCTCCGGCAGACTCACCCCGCCCCCACTCATCTCTTCTTCCTCCCGCAGTTCCGGGCTCAGAGCTGGAGAACTCTTGGGGAGCAGAGGGCTTTCTGCTCCTCCACTCCTCCAGATGCCCGCACCCTGGCGGCAGAGGATACCCTCATCCCCGGGACCTGGGGCTGGTCTGAGAGAGACACTTAACAGGCTTTGGCCAAGAGACTGAGGGAGGACCCGGAGGAGGGAAGAGGGACTCACCATGGGACAGGGAGTCAGGCAGACTTGCAAGCGGAGGGCAGGGGGTGGAGTGTTCCTGGGGTGGGGGTGGGGCAGGAGGGGCCAGGGGCCAGTGAGGGCATCTGAAGCACCTCTCTGACACCCCTAGAGCTAGCAGATCCCGAAGGCCCTAGTTCTGTCTCCCTCCACAGTGTAGTGGGAGGAGGAGAGGGACGGACAGACCCACAGCACTAAAGCAGTCCCACCTCCTCTAGTTCTGGGTAGTTCTCCTAGTTGTGTTGTGGTTGGCCTGGAATAGCGTTTGGAGGCCAGGAGAGTGTTTAAACCTTGCTCAGGATAGAATAAGTCAGTTTTCAAAGTTTGACGTGTGTGTGTGTGTGGGGGGGGGGGTGTTGGTTGATAGACTTGCTCTGCCTACCTCCAGTAGGGGCCAAGTCGGAGCCACCCAAGGAGTCCACTCTCTGCTCTGGCTGTGATAGGAAGAAAATGGGGTGAGGGAAATAGTCAAGGGGAGACAGAAAAGATGGGTGAAGGAGGAAAGAGAACAAGACACACAGATGGAAGTGCAGAGCCTCCCTTTCTGCAGCCAACTTAGCTATCCGCTAGGCTGTTAGGGTGGCAAAGCTCACTGCCACCGTCTTTGGGGAGTTGGGGTCGTAGGGACACAGGCGCCTAGTCCTAACCACCTCTCCTCACTGCCAAGCTAACTTCCATCCTCCCACCCACCTCCCTCCCGCCCCGCAGCCAAATCCGGCAGAGCTCCCCGACTTCTCCCCTCCAGAGCCCTTCTCCCCTCCAGGGCTCTGGACAGGGGCGAGTTGTGCACCCACCTCTGGGGGGTGGGGTACAGGGAAGGAAGCGACCCTTCCTGGGGGCCCCCTCCCTTTCCCGGCGCTGATACCTCCCCCGCCCCCTGCGCTGACAAGCGCGGCTGTAATTAGGCTGCGGGGTCCCCGGCTCTCCGCCTCCCTCCGGCGGATAATGAGATAAAGTGTCAGAGACACGGCGAGAACAAAGAGACAGAGACTCGCTGCGATGTGTGTTGGGGGGGCGCGGAGGAGGGGGACTGACGGGATGTCAGAACCTGGAGCAGCACAGAGCCTGGCCCTCCCAGAGCACCCGCACCTCCAGGGCCGGGCCAGGGAGTGGAGTGTCCTGTCACTCGTGCCCCCCAGCCCTCCAGTGTCCGGGACTAAAAATCAATCCTGGAGCTCGATCTCCAGGGGCAGCACATCTGGGCTGTACATCTGTCTCTGTGTGGCACAGCTGGGGCGCCAGGACGCCAACAGGGACGTCCAGCCCCTGCGCCACGCCCCTTTGCTTCTCGGGGCCTCACCCACGCTCCCGCACCATTTCTTGCGAGTTTTGGTGACCAGAGTCTAGCGCGTTCTGAACTCTCTGCCCCGCCGCTTTCCTAGACACGCCGCTGTTCCTCCTGCCGTGGGCCTCCACCCCCACTTTCCAAGCGCCTTATTACCTTATTATTGCTTCTGCTCTGGCCCTGCCAGGGCTCTTTGACCCTGCACCCGTTTCTGGTGCCAGTCTCTGACCCCTGGTCTGAGACCCTACTTCTTAGCCCCCTCCCATTTCTGGATCGTGATCTGTGCGCCGAGCTGGGACTCAGAACTCCGTGAGTTCCGGATCCCTTGTCTCCCCACCTTCCCGCACTTTCCCATCAGAAGGACTCAGGCCATGCTGATCGAGCCGGGTGAGGAACCGCAGAAGTCATTAGCTGCGGATTAGGCGTGGCCTGGGGCGTGCGGGGTCCCGTGGGGACCAGGTTCTGAACGCGAAATCGCGCCAGGACACTAATCCGCTGGCTGGCTGCACCGCTTGTCAAAAGCAGCTAGGCTGGGCGGAGCGAGCTGGCTGCTGGGGTTAAGGGCGCGGGGCGCCCCCTGGAGGTTGAGCTGCTCCCAAGCTCTCAGGGGAGGTGCCTCGGGCGCCCCCTATCGGGTCGCGCAGGCTCTGCGCCCCACCAATTTCGGGCAGGTTAAGTCAGTGCCTGGAGTGTCCGTCCACGTCCCGCCTGCGGCTCCTGCTACTCCAGCTGCCAAGGCACTGGGTCCCGCAGTCTCCCCTCTTCTGGTGTGAGGCGGGGCCAGGGGCAGGTGCGGAGAGGGAAGGGTCCATCTCCCACCTCGCCAGCTATGGGTGGCACCACGGGTTCAGGCTGGTCCCTCTTGCGCAGCTGGTCCGCTCCAGACCCTCTGCCTTCTGACCCTGCCTACCCCAGTCTCTGACTGCCCTTCTTTCTGCCTCTTTATGCTTCAGGCCCTAACTCTGTCTCTCTGTGTCTGTCTCTGTGTATGTCTGTCTGTTCCTTATCATTCTGGCTGTGTCTGTCTGTCTCTCCCTTCGCAGCTCTCTCTACCAGGCTTTGTCCTTCTGCATCTGTTTCTGTGTCTCTCTGTGTTTGTCTCTCCTTCCCTCTACATCTCTCTACCCTCTGCATCTCTCTTTACAAATGCCTGTCTGTCTCTGTCTCTCTTTCTCCCCTTTCCCATCCCCCCAGTTCTATTACTATTCTCTGGCTTGCTGCCCCTGGGGGGCTGCAGCAGTCCAACGAGACAGCCTGGGGACACCTCAGGGCACTGCCCGGGGTCCACTTCCCGGTCACCTCCACATGCCCGTCACCTCTGCGCGGCCTCCTGTCTTCCCTCTGCAGCTGTGGGGCGTGGAAGGGGCGCCCGGGGAGGGAAGACACAGGGCCCAGCATCTGCTCGGGAGCCCCGGAGCCCCTGACCCCCTCTGCCGCTATTAAGGGCGCCGGGTCCCGAGGCTCCGAGAGATGATCATGATTGCATCAGCCAGACAGCCGCGGAGCCGGGAGCCGCGCGGCGAGCGAACGAGCGAGACAAAGACGCCCGCGCCATCTGTTTATGCAAAGCTCTCTCCGCCGGGGACCCCGGCGTCCCGGTGCCTGGCCCGGCTCGGGGCACAGGGTCAGGAGCCCGCTCCTGCCCGGCGCCCCCGCCGCGCCGCGGCTCCCCCCTCCCTAGCACCCAGAGGGGCCGCGGGGCGAGCGGAACGGAGGGGGGCGGGGGTGTTGATGTGATTGGAGCGGACGCGGCTGTTTCTTCAATAATGGATGGAGATGATGCGGACGGCGGAGCCAAGCCCGCCCGGAGAGGAGAGAGGAATAGAAATGGGGAGAGGAAGGGGCGGGTGTGGGAGACTCACCCAGGCGCGCGCGCGCGCACACACACACACACACACACACACACACACACACAGGAGCGAGCGTGCGTCACACTGTCATTCGAATACACTGTCGCGCGGCTCACACCCAGGCACACGCCCACGCACAGTCACGGAGATACACACACCTGCAGGCGGAGACGCCAGAGCAATACACACTCACCGGTGGCTCTTCCTGATTTTCACACATACACAGTCCTGCAGGCAGAGACACGCGGAAATGCCCACACCGGGGCACACCCAGGCGTGAAGATCGCACAGACACACAGACATGCCAGAGCACGTATGCACACCTAGACACCCAGGGGCTAAGCCAGACAAAAATTATAGAGGTTGAGTGGGAGCAGAACAGGGACAAGACTGACAAATACATACTTAGGGCCACGGACACACACCAGGGGCACACATACCAACAACATACGCTACACCTCGTGCTCTGATATACACACCTCACATGCTCGGGTCACAGGCACGTGCACACACACACACACCAGAGGCATAAACACCCATAATCTCCAGGGACACAGACCACTACCAACCCCCACACATTCAGAGGTTCCCACCCACACATATACAGGAGCTGCTGTCTGTGCCCTCCCATGGAAGAGTATGGCAGAGAGGTCGCTGGAGTCCCAGGAGCAGGCCTTGTTAGCCTAGCCACCTAATGAGGTGTTGGTTACAGGAAGCGCCCGGGGCTGTGGACCCTGCTCCCCTGCTTGACTGACTGCTAGTTTCCTTCCTTGGCCCCTAGGGTGGGTGGTGCACACCTTGGGCCACTCTGACAACAGCCAATCCAGCCAGTCCCAACCCCAGTACTTGGGGAGAGGAGGGGGAGCAACAGAAGGACATAGGGACTCCCAGGATGCCCCACACAGCCGCGAGGCAGGCGTGGAAAAGAGGGTCACTCTGTATTCCCCCTCATTCCCCGGTACTGCCCAATCTTCCCACTGTAAGGGGCATTTTCTTTGCCGAGAGCAGGGGGCACTGCGGCGGAGTAGGGTGTGGGCTGTGTCCCGGACCCTGGTAACCCGGCCCCTCCTCCGGTCTGTTTTCAATTCAGTCCGTTCCTTGGCCCAGACTTATGACCTTTGCTGCGTGTGGCAACATCATCCATCACCTAGGCGGCCGTTTGCCGGGTGAGGGGTGTGTGGGCTCACAGAGGGTCGCTGTCGCTTCCGCCTCCCTCATATGAGTCCTACTATACGCTGGCAGGCCTGGGCTCAACGGCGGGCAAATGCTTGAGGGGAAGGTGTGATCATGGGGCTCGGTCGCGATACTGGGCCTATGTCCCCACCCCTGGCACCCCAAGAACCCGTCCTTCGAGCTTGGCACAGCCGGCCTCCCCGCCTCTCCCGCCCTCCCTCTCTCGGGCCCTTTGCTTAATTTCCTATTAACTGCTGATAAATCCAATTAAACCGCCGCTCTAATTAGGGACAGCTGCCGACTCCACGAGGCGGGGGAGGGGGTGCCCCCGAGTGTAGAGGGGGGAGAACAGCAGCTCTCTCTGCTTCTCGGCACCCCCACACCAGCATCGCCGCCCAATGAGCCAGTAAATTGGTTTTGCTTCAGCAGCATTAGTGGGGGGGGAGGGGGGCCCTCTCGAGGATTTCGGGGGATCTGGGTTTGAGTCGCTCATATCTCTTGATAAAGAGATACGACCCGAGACCTAGCCTCCCAGCACCGGGACCTCCGACTAACCCGCCCCCCCACCCCTTCCACCACGCCTTTCTTGGTAGGCGTATCCCGAGGAGGGATGGGGGCAAAAGGCTTGATCTGTGTGTGGTGTTGGAGGCGGATGCCTGAGATCTGCTTTTATTCAGCTGACGTGGTTTGGGGGCTGCCTGAGTCTTTCTTTATGACCCCGCTGCCGCCCCGTCCAGGAGCAGTCAGGGCAAAGGAGCCAGGAAGCCGGGTTCTGCGTTGAGTTTTCCTATGTGCTTCCCTACCCCCACTCTGGAAGGAAGGGGGAGGGGCGAGTCCGTCAGGCCCTTCTCTCTTCCCCAGCCCAGCTGAGCCTCTGCCCTCCCCCGCCAGCAGATGGTGCCCGGGCTCCCACTGCCAGCCTTGCTGAGCGGCAATTCCCCTCAGGCCTGGCCAGACAACGGGCAGAAAGAGGATCTCCTGACTGGCAGAGGCTGACCCTCCCCACCCGCCATCGAGCTCCAGACCCTCGGCCTGCCCTACTCCAGGGACCACCTCAGGCTGCCTCTCACTGGTCCGCTCCCAGGTCCCCAAACTCCTCGTATCCTTCAGCTCCCTTCCCCACACCTTCCGCTCCCCGCCACCTGCCACCCTGACCAGGGGCCGGCATTGCATATTTTGCATATGTAATAACATTGCATACGGCGCGCCACCAATCCCCGCGTGAGCCGGTTGCTATCTGCCCGCCTCTCACTCGGTACGCCTGTCACCCAAAGGGCTGGGGCGGGGGCCGCTGCCAGGAGGGGAGTTAGGCCCCGGCCTCGCTCTGCTGGGTTCCCCAGAGGACTTGAGGAAGTGTTGTCATGGAGACGGCACGCACCCCACCTCCAGGTCTCGGCACGGTGTCTCAGGTTCTCTCCTTCGCCCCCCCTTCCCCGCCCAGTCCTTGCTCTCAACCAAGACCTTGCATCGCCCCTGGCGGCCTAGCTCGGCACTGAGCCAGGTTCCCGAAAATGTGAGGGGGGGGCTGCCCGCAGCTAACTCGCCTAGGGAGTGGGGGGATACGGCCAGATCTTTCTCCTACAACCGCCAGGACACGGGGGTGGTGACTCTAGTCAGCTCACTTTCTTCGCTGACAACAGGAGCTCACCTGGCAGACGCACCTGTCTCCCCACCTCCCACACCAGCCTCAGCCCAGGTGGTCTGTCGGGTTACCGATGATAGTGAGTGAGACAGCTGGGGAGAGATTCTCCCAACGCTGGGGTCTCTCCTCCCTCTCCCCTCAGCCCCCAGTTGAACAAACTTTTTCTAACTTTTTTCCAAACTTTTTTAATACATTAGCAACATTCGACAGTTCGCCTCCCACACCCCAGGCGCCTCTAGTGGGGGAGACGCGTTCTTTTTTCCAGCTCTCAACGGCTGGGCCTGAGGGAGATTTGGGTGAGGCCGTTCTGGGTACCACCAGGTATCCAAGGCCCTGAGCCGGGGAAGTGGAGGAGAGGGGGAGGCTGAACCGGTCCCTTCCCAGAGGCCCTTCACGCTTGAGGAGCCTTCCCACCCCTCCCCCTTCCAGCACTCAGTTGCTTTCGCCCCTTCCTCCCAGCCTCCACTGGGCCTGCCCAGGAAATGGGGCATGGTATCTTCGGTCAGCAGGCGCCTGCGCCTAAATCTCCTCCAGGAAGTCGGTGAGGGCAGCCCACCTTGCGGCCAGTGTGAACCTTGGCCCAGCCGCCGGCTTCCATCTCCTTCTGCACCACTATCTGAGTAAAGGTTTAGAGAGGGAGGAGAGGAATCAGGAAAGGTAGAAGAGGAGAAACGGGGAGGCCCAGTTTTATGAAGGCTATCTAGCCCCGTTAACGGGTTAAGATCTGCAAGAGGTGTGGTTTGCCGAGGAATCTTGGGGCCACTGAGGTTGAATGGGGCGCACCAGAGCCTGGTCCTTCTTGAGAGTGATCTGCCCTATTTCGCGGTTTCCCACGAAGGATCTCGTTACGCGGTGCGCTCTCAGACCCGGTTGACCGAATGATGAAGTTTGGAGGGAAAAATCCAACCTTTTCCCCTATTTTCCCCTGGAGGAGACGGGAGGGAGAATCAGTCTCTCAATCTCAGATTCTAAACTCAACCCATGTCCCACTCTAGCCTCTGCCATTTCTCTTACCCGACACCATTCCTCATTGGAGTCATCAATGACTGTGATCTTCTCTCCAGGCCTGGAAGAGGAAGGAGAACACTCTGAGGATTGGGAGCTTGCCTTATGCTCGCTCGGTCCAGCCCCAACAGGCTCTAAGCCCCTGATACCCCCTTTCCTTTCCCATAAGGAGATGAACTCTCCCCTCTCCACTCTCAGTACTCCCACCCCCAGCCCCCCCACCCCACCCCCTGTCCCAGTCTAAGGCCTCTCACGGGAAATCCAGATCGTCCTTCTCCAGGGCTTTGAACCGATAGAGAGCCACAAAGTAATGAGACTGCTGGAAGCCAGGCTGCTTGTGCTGGGGGTGAAAGGAGGTGATGAGTCTCTGGGCTCCTCTCTCCCACACTGAGGGGCAGGAGTCCAAGGCAGGGGCATTGTGCAGACACACTACATTCCAACTCTCTTCCACCTCCTTGAACTGAGAGGATTCTGGGGTGTGTGGGTGTGTGTGCGTGCGTGCGCACGCGCGTGCATGGTGAAGGCAGGTTAAGGGTGATGGGAACCCATGGAGTAAGTGTGAACTTCTGTGGAGACCATGAGTGGTGTCAGACCTGGGTTGGGGAGAGGACTGGGGTTCCTGCAGGGAAAAAGGAGTCTCACTTTGTCATCAGGTGTCTTCTTTTCAGCCTTCTTATCCCCTTCAGGGTTTCCTGGGATGGGAAACACCAAAATTGTCTCTAGTTCCTGGAGGGTAACCCTCATTCTTTTACCCTTCTGTTGCAGAACCTCTTTTTTTTAATTAAAAAAAATTAAGTTTATTTATTGAGTGTGGGGGGGCGGCACAGAGAGAGAGAGAGAATCCCAAGTAGGCTCTGCACTGTCAAACCCACGAACCACGAGATCATGACCTGAGCCAAAGTTGGACCCTTAGCCAACTGAGCCATCCAGGTGCTCCGTGCAGAGCCTCTTTTATCTCCAAATCTGCCATGCCCTTTGGCCCTCCATCCCCTGTTACCCAGCCAAGTCCCTGACCCTACTCCATCTCTATGGATGGAGGTGGGTGACACTCACCATCCTGGGGTTTGCCTCCCTCTGGTCTGGCAGACTCTGGCTCCTCTTCCATCATGGCTGCTAGAGGCTGGAGGGGGTACCAGAGTTAGGAAGATGCTCTCTTGGGAACCCATGCTTGCCCTGGCTCTCCAGCCAGGCCAGAGAACTATAGCATAACAGCATCTCAGGCTTGGAAGGAGCCTTGGAAGGAAATACCTGGTTCAACCACCAGCCTAATGCCCAGGCTTCCTGAAAACTTTCTGGCAGGTGGACCATCCACCTTGTGCTTGAATGTAGCTAATGACAAGGAGCTCACTACCTTACAAAGTAAGTTCATGCAATTTGAGGGCAATTCCCTAAATTAAAGCTATGTCAATCTCCCTGAACTTTTAGTACATTGGTACTGATTTGGCCTCTGGAGCAATATGGAACAAACATAGTCCCCTTAAAGGTCTGAGGGTAGCTGGTAAGTACTTCCTGCATTTTCTTCTCTAATCAGTTCCTTCAAATCACCCCCTCCCCCATGATCCTGATTCCAGGTTTTTTACTACAATGTCCGCTCCTAAAAATACTCCAGTGTGTAAGAGAAAAATGGGCAGCAGTTTTTCTAATTCCCTTAAGAGAACCTGAGTGTGCTTGCCTTTCTGGAAGCAGTCAAATCATATTGCTAGTGCCTTGTAAGTCATAGTTCATTCCACAGAAATCTCTAACTTACACCCAACCTCCATATCAACTACTCTGAGGCTAATCCCTAGTTCTGTTTTTGTGCAGTTGATTTTTTTTTTTTTTGATCCAACAACAGACATGTGCATTTTTCCTGACAAAATTTCAAATTATTGGTTTTGTGCTTTTCTTCTAGTAAGATTTTAAAATATACTGTTCAGCATATAAGTTTTCCCTCCTAGGTTTCCCACAAACTTAAGGGATAATACCATTTGCATCAGTGAGAAAAATACCCACAGGTGAGGACTGAGGACCAAATCATGCTGATAAGGTATCAGAAATCTCCCTCTAGCCAGACACTCCCTAAAGGACCTAGATCCTTTGGGCATCGTCATTCATCCAGTTTTAAGACCCCATCTAACTGCTATCCACATCAGTCCATCCTGGTTGTCCAGAAAGATACAAGGATATGCTAACAAATTCTTTGGCAGACTCAAGGCAAGTCTACGGCATTACCAGTCTAGTAATCCTATTACCGAAGGAAATGAAGTTGCTTTTGGCCACTGGTCTTGAGCATCAGTTTCCTCAACTATAAGATAAATGAGTCAGGCAAGAGGATGTTCATGGACTCTTCGTGGATTTTCATGGACCCTTCACGGCTCTAGAATTCTGATTACTTGGCATGATAAGTTTTCTTCCCCAAATCCAAAAAGCATAGCTCTTGCCTCTGTTGTCCAGCAATGCTAGGAGCCTGGGGCCTAGCCTTCAGTTGGTTCTGGTGCTTAATCTGATAGTTTCAGAAGGGAGTTTCTGAAGAACATACACACTATGGCAGTTCTTAACCAGAGGCCCTCTAAGATTGGATGCAAAAAATTTGTTGCAATTTTAGGGGAAGAGAATCCCTAGCTTCTGTTGGCTTTCCAGAGAGGAGACAGGACCTGTTCCATGGAATCTCTTGAGGGGACCTCAGGAGGAAGGTATGGTGCTCACATTTTTCTTGTCTGCCTGTCCCTTCTTCCGTTCCTTGTTTGCCATGATCACCCCAGTGCGCAGGGTTTCAAACACAGGATCATTGTGATTGGCAGCAGCTAGTAGGAGGGGAAGAATGAAGCCATTACTGGGGAAGCAGAGAAAGGCTTGGAGGAAAGAGAGACCTCCTAGGTAAGGGAGAGGCGGGATGGAGCATAGAGATACGTGTGTGCACGTGTGCGTGCGTGTAGGATTAGGGAAGGGCCAGCTGGGCATACCTAGGTCATCAATCTATAAAGCGCTCTAAAAACATCACTGGAAATGTAATGTGATGGAGAAAAATACTTACCAGCACTCCTTCCGGGCAGAGCATTCTATGATGATGGAAAGACAACTTTGCTAACAAGTTGCTTGGGAGCTGGGGAATGCTCACAATTACTATTCTCCTTCTAAGGAGAGTGGTCCTTTAAGTGCTGGCTTTTGTTCCGCTGAGTGGCATGTGCAAGCTGGGGTGCTGCCACCAGTGGGTTCTTCTTTTTTCCACCCATGCTCCTCACACAGTTCAGCCTCTCCTCCAAATAAATGTTGAGTAAATTGTCAACGAATATGTTTGTAAGAGTTGCCAAGTTATGAATCTGCCCAGGATGCCCACAGCTCTTGGTCTAGCCCTGAGACTGGTATTATTCTGTAACAAGGATGAGGATGGTCCAGAATCCTTGTTCTTGCTTAGAAATGGCTTTACATATGAAGAGCACCAATTTTGCAGCTAGGCAGATGAAGGTATCAGTCTTGGCTTTGTCTCCTGCTAGCTGTGTGGAGCCCTAGCTTAATCTCCTCTCTCTCGGCTCTAGCACAGGAATATGGGCTCTATTCAAGATGGCTAAAATATTAGGTTGAGAAAGAACCATGGGAAGTAGACTCTTTCTGTTTCAGAATTTGGCTTCCAAATCTAGAGGTGGTGCTGGGACCACCTCTAGGCTTCCCCTTTCCCTTGGGTCCCCCTGAAGCACTTACAGAGATCTTTGACACAAGCGTACTGCTGGTTGCTGTAGAGTGGGGAGCTATAGGCCCGATGAAAACCAGGGGGCTGTAGGATGGGATGGGAGAAAGCATTAGAGACAGCAAAGTAGGGCCCAGAACCCCATCTCTCCCATGAGTGCAACTTCTTCTTAGAATAAGAGATGGGCTGGGGCGCCTGGGTGGCGTAGTCGGTTAAGCGTCCGACTTCAGCCAGGTCACGATCTCGCGGTCCGTGAGTTCGAGCCCCGCGTCGGGCTCTGGGCTGATGGCTCAGAGCCTGGAGCCTGTTTCCGATTCTGTGTCTCCCTCTCTCTCTGCCCCTCCCCCGTTCATGCTCTGTCTCTCTCTGTCCCAAAAATAAATAAACGTTGAAAAAAAAATTTTTAAAATAAAAAAAAAAAAATAAAAAAAAGAATAAGAGATGGGCTGAGAAAGAAAAAGTAGGGAAATGGATATGACGACTTGGGAGGGACTAGAAGGGGGGAGCTGGCAATATGTCCCCTCCCTTCCGCTTCCTCGCTCCCCAGAGCCTACTCACGATCTTGCCGAAGCATCTTTGCATCTCCACATAGGACTGACAGTGTTCGTGGATGTTAGTTTTGCAGTTCTTACAGCGAAGCCCAAATTTGTTGTTGACTTGGGAGAGGGAAGAACATGTGGGTGAGGTTCCTGATCTCCCCTTCCCTTTGTACCAGCGCTGCTACTCTAGCTCTCAGGTCCCTTTTCTGTCTAGGACCCGACACTCTCAGTCTCTAATGTGTTTTCCTCAAGCCACCTCTTGCCATAGCCTGTCAGCTACACGCTCCTCTCCTGAGCCCTTTCCCCCGCCTCCTGCCTTCCACATCACGCTCTCTCTGCTTCCCTTCGTGACTCACGCACAATCATCCGGGCACAGACATCACAGAACTTGGGCTTCTTGAAGAAGTGATCTTTGAATTTGTGAGGCTTATCATTGACAAGCTTAGGAGGTTCTGGGGGTGGTTCCTCCTCCTCCTCCTCTTCTTCTTCCTCTTCCTCATAGATGTAGTAGATGGGCCCACCCCCAGCTCCCACTGCCTCCCCATTGGCCTGGGGCTCTGGGGGAAGCTCCATCTCCTTCGTCCCAGGAGACTCCTTCCTGAATAACTGCTTCAGCCGCTGTAGCTGAGGGAGGCAGGGGAGTGGGGAGGGGAGGAAACCCAAAGTTAAAAGAACTGTCATGCTCTCTAGAGCAGGTAAGGCTGAAGCTAAGCATTTTTCTAGCTTGCGCAAGGGGGCACACCCCAGGATCAGGAGTACTGGGGGCTGTAGGTGCTGGCTGGCGTTCTGCCAATAAAGGAGTCATGAACAAGTGAGATCAATTCAAGCATTCTTCAAGGGCTGCAGTGGGTTCCCAGCTTCCCGCACCCAGTGGTCGGAGGCCCAGACTCACCCCACTTTGCCGAGTCTCTGCTGGGGAGGAGGGCTTGGGGGACTCCAGCACCTCCTTTTCTGTCATCCTGCAAGAGGTTGGACCCACTATGGAATCTGATCCCTGACTGCCATTCTTCCTTTCCTAATTCCTGTCCCTCACTGTAGGGGGGGGGGGGTCCTTGAAAGGGAGACTTTGGGAGGACTTTGGTTAAACAGAAATCCTTTGACAGACTTATGAACAGAAAGATTCCATGGAGGTCCAGAGAAAAGTGCAACAGACAAAAGACTTTCCCCGCCAGTTCCTCAAACAACTAGATACCCATCCTTTCCACCCAGAGGCGCAACCTGAATTTATAGCCCCAACACGGTGCTCAAAGCTGCATGGTTCAGGGATTTTCCTACAGTTTGTTTCTCCTGGGAATCTGTGGGCAACCGAGATATGACACACATCTTCCCAGAACCCCCTTTCTTCAAGAGGCTTAATGGGTGGGTCCAGAAGCATGCCTGGAGGGATGGGCTGGGGACATGTGCTCTCCCCTACCCCTTTCTTGAGTCCCTGGGGCCCAGGGCCTAGTTCCCAGCCTGCCTCAGTCCTCAGCTATTTTAAGTTTTCAGAGTAATATGAGCCTTTCCTTCCCTTACTACTCCATTCCCTTGACCCCACCCCCACCCCACCCTCCAATCCTAGCTCTTGTCCTGGAGTAGAGTAATAATTTCACTCCTAAAACCCTAACTACTCACAGGCAAGAGAGAAACGAAGACGTTGAATAGACTACAGATTGGGGAAGCTGCGGGGAGCAGTGCTGGAAATGGACGGGGGATGAAGAGGCAACTTACGTTTGGGATTCCCTAAGTCAGTCCACAGTCTGTGGAGGAAAGAGGGAGCCCCTGGGGTCTTGATGGTGGTGCTGGGGGACGACTGGTCCTCTTCCTTGGGGGCTAAGCCCCCCCAGTACCCTCTGTACTCACAGCGGCTACCCAGACGTTATTTGTAGACCTCCTAGTCTCTCGCCTTGGTGTCAGAGCTGAAATGACAGGGCTGGAGGAAAGTGGACAGCTGAGCGCCACAGCTGACACAGAGAAATTGGACACGGGGAGGTCTGGGCTGGGCCGGACCCTGACTCCTCCCATCCCCCAAAGCCACTGTGTCCTGGTTTTTCATCTACCGTGTACAGGTCAGTTCTGGCTAAATTCAAGGAAGGGCAGTGTCTGTTCAGGCTGCATACTCACTTAGGTGACTTTGGATGACTGAACGTAAAGATGAAATTATAAACAGCCTTCCCCGAGGTCCACACACCTCTCCGAGTCCACCTGCCCCAGACCTACTTGAGGAACTAGCTTTTGATTTTTTTCAGCCACTGTCTTCCTGTGGTCATGTTTTTACACCCTCAAGCATCGATCTAGCCTCAAACCTTTAGGAAGCAAAGGCTGGAAACTGGTGAGAAAGGAGACTTTGAATTCTCAGAGGTCTCCTGTCAGCCAGACTAGATTGCATTCTTTATCCATTGGTGGTTGGAGGGGTACCTTGCTGCCATCCTGAAAGGGAGTGTAGACCATGCATAGTACTGCTTTATTCTCTCCAGTGCCCCCTGAGACATCCTTCCCCCATTCTAAAACCTTATCCCCTGGGTGAAGTGAAGGGACTTCTCTGAGCTACTGAAAAAAGCCAGGATGGGACTTCCACCTGAGGGGCTCTGGGAGAGTAAGGGTCTAATGGTCAGGTAGAGATGGTCTCGTTAACACTGGACAGAAGGCAAAAGCTACCACACAGGGTTTTTCCTCCTCTGTAAGCAACGTCTGCTTCTGCTTCTCCATGAGGACTGTAAACTTTTGGAGGTAGGACAGCCAAGCCCCACACTTCCTAAATCATTTTGATTCCTGATTCCGCTTCCCTCATCTGATGCCCTGGTATAGGAGCTTATGGGTCAATGAGATATCTGACATTCTTGTCTCACAGGGCTGTGGCCTTCTCCTACTCTGGGTTGTGACATGGCTGAAAGAGGAGTTACTCCTCGGATCTCAAAGGAGGGCCATTTGGAGGTGGTCATGTAGTGCTGCTTTATCCCTTGTATCTGTAAGAAGTAAAGGATTACGTTGGAGGTTGGGTCAGACCAGCCTCAGAGGAGCCTGGCTAGACTGCTACCCAGACCCAAGCGATTTCCAGGGTAATGTACTTTGTCACTTCTGTCACTGCTCTTTTTTATTTTGTTAAGGGGTAGGTGAGATGGAAAAGGGGCTGCTGGATGGCTCTTAATGGCCCTGGTCTGACAGGCTGCACGACAACAGGGCTAGCTTTGAGAAGCCTCAGAGAGAGGAGAAGCTCCAACCATGCAGGTGGATAACGTGTTTTTCACCTTTCTTCGGTTGCATAGGACAGGGACTGCTGAGCATGCCTGGGTGATACAGTATCTTGACCCTTCAACTGATGTAGCTTTTATATAAGAACATCCGTTTCTGTTTGTCATAGAACCCAATCCTCTAGCTTTCATATTATAAAAGGCCCAAGTCCTCCATCCCTGAAGAGTTTTCAGAAGATCGGATGCTGGATACATATCCAGATTGTTGAGGCCACCATCTCAACCTGGTTCTGGATCTCACTCACCCTCCACAGCTCAGCCAGGAGGGCCCGAAATGAGTATCACAGAATTAACATAGTAGAAGGAACCTCAGAGATAAGCAAGTTAGTTCAAGTCTCCTATTTTACTAATAAAGAGTCAGACAGAGGTCAGGAGTTGCAAATGGATGTGCTTGATGAAACCACACTTAGTGGCAGAGTTGGGAGAGCCCAGAACAAAGGTCCCATTAGAGATCCAGCCATCTATCAGAATCACCATGTACAAGGAGGAGGATGGGATGCAGGGAATAGTGTTAGGAAGGTATGTGTGCATATGTTAAAGAAAACATGAAATTTCTCCGACAAGCTGTGGGGCTGTACCTACCTAGGACCTCCAACCCCCACCCACACCGGGTCAGCAACAGAGAAACAGGGACTGACGTCCAGTGACAGATTTTTTTTTTTATATTTAAAAACAAAATCAACCTCCCCCCAAATAACCCCCCAAACAAACAAAAAATCAGATTAAATAAAATTTACAGTGAATATACCCAGCAAACATCTGTATGTGCAATTAAATACTGTCTGTTACTGCGGCACGAACCTCAAACAAACAATATACAAGTGTTCTGGGAGGTGGGGGAGGCCCAAGTTTTAACTCTTTGGGGTTTGGGGAGACAAGATGGGGGAAGTGAGAGAAAGGGGAAATCAATTTTGCTTTTCTTAATTCTGTCCATATAAATATATTCATAAAGACCAGAAATGAAAAGGGAGCTTGGGATGGTAGAGAAGATCGAATAGGGGAGCATGGGACCCTCCCAATTCTACCTGACCAAAAAATATGAAAAAAATTAATTTCATGGTGGGAGAAGAGATAAAAAATGACAGAAGAGGATGGGAAGGAGAGGGCAGCAAGGGGGGCCAACCAGGGAAAAAGAAGGGACCCATGGCAGGGGAGCGAGGAGTCCAGTGCCAGTGTGAGTGTCTGTTTCCATCTTCATCCCCACTGTCTTAGGCTCCAGTTCAGTGTCTGTCACCTTTCTTTCTGCCTCTGTCCGTAGTCTGTCAGGATCCCTCGACCCCCTCCGCCCTGCCCCCACCCCTACTGTGCCGGTCCCTTCCCCTCCTCCGTTTATTGGGAGCTGGCTCGCTCCAGGATCCTCAGGTCATAGTTCTTTTTGGCCACTCGAAGTTTGAAGCGACTCACGGAGTTGTTGAGGCGAAGGGAGGCATTCTGGGCAGCCAGGGGGCTGGGAAACACAGCCACGATGGTGTACAAGGCAGCGAGGTCCGCGTGGCGGCCATTCTCAGCAGTCCCACCGTTGTCCCCCCCGCCCCCGCCAGGCAGCCCCTGAGCATCCTTGAGCCACTGGATCTTGGCGCCAGACATGGCAAGCTGAGTGAAGAGTTTGTCCGCCTCAGTCCGAGTGATGCCCTCAGGGAGATCTGTCACCTCCAGCACCCGGCCCAGGACTGGAAGGGGAGGAGAGAGGACATGGTTGTGAGAGGTGACAGTACAGAGGACTGGAGAGTGGCCAGCAGAGAAGCAGGCAGCTGATCCAAGTCTATAGATGACATCCTCAAAGCCTGGCTTTGCCCACTTAACCCATTCCTCCTTCCCCAAATCAAGCCAACACCCCACCATCTAGGCAACTAGGAGAAACAAAGAAACCTTTTTCTTCTCTTGGACCAGAGATGTAGGCAAGAAGAAACTGGGGATCAGAATCCTAGACTTCAGATCTGGAGACCTACACTTCAGTTCTTCCACAAAGTCGGTAACCCAAGCTGAAATATATCGCATAGTCCCCCTCACAGAGGCTGGCCCAAAGAGATCCCTCTTTCTTATCATCTAGGGAAGTCCATTTCCCTTCCTTTCCTAAATAAGCAAACCACTCTGAATAGGGGTAATCGGGTGGGTGCCTGCGTGGCTCAGTCAGTTAAGCACCCGACTCTTGATTTAGGCTCAGGTCATGGATCTCACAGTTCGTGAGATCAAGCCCTGTATCAGACTCTGCAATGACAGCATGGAGCCTGCTTGGGATTTTCTCTCTTCCTCTCTCTCTGACCCTCCCCAGCTTGAGCGCACACACGTGTATGCTCTCTCAAAATAAATAAATAAACGTTAAAAAAAAAAATAGGGGTAATCTGAGAGACCTTGTATGCCTAGTGTGGAAGGCCTGCAAGGGGGCTACTCCCCCATTCTCTTGTCAAACTTCTCCTTAAAAAGGCCTAGGACTACAAGGTAGATATCCTAGATTAGGGTCAGGACCACTCCCACAAGACTCTCTGTTAATAGGTTCAGCACTGTTGACCACTGTTGTTATTCTCAATTTTTACCATCACCTTTCCAAGCACCTGAAATGGCTTGGTAAGGAAGACTGAGGGAGATACTTCAATTCCCCAGTTTCTCCCTGCTCTTGAGTACCAAAGAGTCCTATTTCTATTCCCTACCCTAAGCTGGTTTTTCCCACTGGTCCTGGGCTGGTGATGCAGGCTGAAGGGGTGAGCACCTTCTCTTGGGGATTCAGTGTCTTGTCACTCACCAACGTCTGTTGTCCCCAGGTCAGTGGAGGCAGATTTGAGTGCTTGTCTCTTGCTCCGGTTTCCATGCTTCAATCCACTCTGTCCCTTCAACATTCAAAAGATAACTCTCATCCCAGGTAAACAATACTGACTGCCTTGCATTCTAATGTCTGTCTGGGAGATTAAGGAGCAGTACCCAACCCTGAGAACTCGCCCCACCAGGCAGGCGACTGGCCAGAGTGGCCACTTAGAAACAAAGAGTCCCTCCTCCTTAGCATTGGGGATGGGTGGAAAGACTGAGTGTGGGAGAGGGGTAAGGCATCCCCACTTTGTCCATTCTCACTGTGCTATGTCCCCTGTCCACCCCGTTGGTTGAGGTGGATGGCATAGAGATGGGGCCATCCTGGATGGATCCTCCTGGGTGGGGTGGGGTGGGGTGGGGAGGGCTCTGACGGTCCTCAGGCTGACGGTGGACACCCTCACCTGATGTACCGTGTACGTCGACTGGCCATGGAGCAAGGGAGGGCAGATGGACAGATTGTACTGTAATGGCTGGCCCAAGAGGGAGTAGCGCCCATCACCTAGGGAGGAAGAGCAGATGGTTTTCTGGGAGTTAGGACTTCATGGTATGACTTTTAGGAAACTTTAGAGGGCTTTGGAGATAGATGGCAACAATGCATGCTATTCTTACTTCTTCTATGATAAGAGTGCCCATGTGACTGACTGAAGAGTTGTCTCTCTTCCTAAACCGCTTGGCCCTTAGCTGTGTATCTCATGTAAATGGGGCTTTTAGGTTCCTTTATTCTTAAAGAAGGGCTCTGTCCACTGCAGACAAACGGCCCAGGAGAAAAATCTATAGACCCTTATGAATATGTTTCTTTCATCTCTTCCTTCCTTCCTTCCTCCCTCCCTCTCTCCCTCCCTTCCTTTCTCCCTCCCTCCCTTCCTTTCTCCCTCCCTTTCTTTCTTTCTTTCTTTTTCTTTCTTTCTCTCTCTTTTTCTTTCTTTCTCTTAGGTAATTTCTATGCCGCAAATGGGGCTTGAACTCACGACCTTGAGATCAAGAGTCGCACGCTCTACCGTCTCAGCCAGCCAGGTACCCCTAATTTCTTATATAGATTATCCTACCCAAACCCAGGGCTCAAGTTTTGGATTCGCACTGCGTGGCAATATAGTGTAGTGGATAAGATTACAGGCGTGGTGTCAAACTGTCTAGGTTCAAATCCTGGCTCTGTTACTGGAAATGATAGGTTGGGTATGTTTTCATCTCATTAGTGTTGCTGAGTAGGCTAAATGAATATAGGACACACAAAGCACTTCCAGTAATGCTTCATATATATCCAGTACCATAGTGTTACCTATTTGTGTTGATAAATGTTAGATTTCAGAGCACTTTAAAGTTTTTAAATCATACTCCCATCTGATTTTTATACTGCTTGTGACAGCCAAGGCAGAAACGGGTAAGATTATTTCCATTCTATGTGTGATTAACCCCATTTTATAGATTAGGAAACTGAGGTCTGGTTCCAAGTTTAAGTAACACGCTCAACATCACAAACCTAGTTAGTAGTAGAACTAGAACTCAAACCCAAGTCTTTTTAACCCAACTCCAGTGTTCTCTCTTCTAAAACCATACTGTTTCTGACACAGCCCCACAGTCCTAGTCCTTAGGCTCAGTACCAATGTTTTAAAGTCTTTGGTTCATTAGAAAGTTCTGTGAGTTTCTTTTCCCAGCTCATAGTCACCCACCTACCTTACTTGGTAGTAAATACTAAATATGTAAAGGAAGTCTGCAGTAAGCTGACTATGGGCAGCACTAAAGAGGGGCAGGGTCTAAACAGGGATGTTAAAGGAAGAGTTGGCTCCCAGAGTTGGATGACCAGGTGCACTGTTTTCCTGCCTGTTGCTACCATCTGGATGTCCTCACTTGGGAATGGGCTGTGAAGGGTGAATTTGGCAGCAGCCAGCTCTAGTCTCACCCCTTACCCTGTGCTGGACCCCCAGGCCGGGGGAACTGTGTGAGGACAGGAAGGGGACTGAGTCCTGTGCAGACACTGCTGAGGCTGGTGACAGGAGAGGGTGCTGGAGACTGGGTAGGAGATGTGACAGGGCTGCTGCTCATTTGTGTGTTGGCCTGTAGGAGAGAGGAGCACACATTATATACACACCAAACATCCTCTGGATATACCTATGGCTTAAAATTCACCTCACTCAGAAAGCGTCTCTTGCAGAACTCTGCCAAAGCCCGGCTGCTCCTTTCAACAGCCCCCTTCGTCCCTAATTAATACCTATTATTTTAATATCCACCTTTGACACAGTGTTTTAAGCATTGTCTTAGCATTTTCAAGTATGTCTCCCTTAGCTCTTAGGCTCCTTGAAAGAAGAGGCTCTCCTCTCTTTCTTATGACTCTCCCAGAAGAGCACCCAGGGACAGACAGGTACAAGAGGCTGCTCAGTCAATGGCAAAGATTATTCCCGGAGAAGAATGTGGTCATCTCCTTGCCAAGACAATACTGGTTTGTAGGACTCACCTGGGGGCTGCTGTCAGGATTGTACAGGTCTCCAGGCTTCTGCCCACGCTGGTCCATGCTGTAATATTTACAGTGACTCCACTGGACCATGGATGGGTTCTGGGGGGGCTGGGGTCCATTAGGGACGTTCAGCTGCATGACCACCACGCCTGGTCCAGAAGGTGACACTCCTGAGTGGCAGGAAGAAAGGGGCTAGTTGTGAATTCAAACTATATTCTGACCTTCCAAGTAACCCTGAGTGTGAAAGCCAGTAAACAAATCTACCCACTTTGCCTCAGGGTCACTTAAAATGTGTCTTGCCAGGAATCTGAGATAGTTGCTAATTTAGTTTCTGACTCCCTTCTCCCTGAACCAGTGAAGTCTGAGTAGAAGAGACCTGAGTCCCAGATGCCAATGCTCTCCTGGCCTTCACCCGGTGAGGGGTACTTTGGTATGCTTGGCAGAAAACTACTCCATTCTGTCAAAGTTGGGTATTACCAAATGTCCAGGTCAGATTGCTCAAATGTCTGGGCATGGTACAGGTCCCAGTCTGGGGCCTGGGCCAGGGCTGCAGGCACGTGCAGGTTTTCTGGTAATGGCTGAAGATAGGTCAGTGATCTCTGGTTGCTCTGGAGAAGATGAGTGCACATAGCTTCACTAAGTCAGGCCAGGAAGCACTTCTTGGGCAAGGGTGAGTGAATTAGGAATGGCATGGAGCTGTAGGTCATATTCGGTAAATGACGAACAATTCAAGGTGCGGAGGCACAGCAGTTATGCAGGAGAAGCGGGAGATGAGATTGTTTATGCATTCACTCAACATTTATTGAATATTTACTGTGTGCCAGGTCCTATGCTGGGCACTGGGTGTACAACAAACAAAAGTGGTCCTTGCCCTTAATGGAATGGACAGTCTATCAGGGAGTCAGATAGTAAGCAAACAGCTGGCGTCCAAGTTTGAAGCACGTTCTAGTAAGGGTCTTTACCATGTAGGTGTTAGGAACAGAACTTCAGAGAGCTAACTCAAGTGGCCAGCTGTACAGTGGCTTAAGGGAGGGAGGGGCCAGCAGCAGGACGAAGAGTTAGAAAGCTACTGAAAAACAGCGAGGAGGTCCTGAATTAGACCAGTGGCTGCAAGGAAGAGTGGGAGGGTCAGACCCTCCTAAGCTTTTGCTGACAGGTTCAGGTGACTGACTGGATGTGATCCTGAAGTTTTAGCACAGACAACCAGGGGTAGCCTTACCCTCTGCTGGAGAAGCAAAGAGCTCAGTGTGGAAGAACGTTAAGTCCTGAATCTTGCTCATGGTGAAAAGCAAGGTAAGGGATCAGGGAGAAGCAGTTTGAATGACAGTCCCTGCTGGGAGGGATGGGCAGGAGTTCTGCTTCCCCACAGGGGATTGTGCAGACTGAGAGTTTGCTCTTGACCTCTCAGGCTCTATGTGTGTTGAGGGACAGGTTGAGTTCATGTGTGTGCGGTGGTAGAGAAATGGGACTGGAGGCTGCCAGCTTGAAAACCTGCTGCACTGCTGCCGTTTTCATGCCTCGGTGCTCTTAGGCTGCCACTGCTGCCGCCGTCACGTTGCTTCCTGTGACGGGAAATGTTGCAGCCTCTGCCCTGGGCACCAGTCATGCTGGGAACTGAGCACGATTGCTTTTCTCGGGTAGCATCGGTCAAAGGGAAGGAAAAGAAGCAGCGGGAGGCCTGAGAGCAGCTCAGGAGACGCAGCATCTGTTGAACCCTATTCTCCAGTCAATTTGTGGCCCCCCACCCTCTGGGGTTCACCTAATCAGAGAGCACAAATACTCAGAGCGACAGGCTCGCCTCTCCCCATCCTCTGCCACAGGGGACAGGGTATTCATCAGCGTGGCTTGTAGGAGGGCCACCAGAAAATCAAATAGCTGTGGAGTATCATGCATTTAACAACTCCCCCCCGTACTGTAGTTGCTCTGGGCATTTTTTTCCCCATCCTAAGAGCCCCACCTGCTCCAACATCCTCTACCAACAAAATTGCAATTGACCTTATTCAAACACCTCATTGCTACCTGAGGGGGCCAACACAAAAATAATCACATCTGCAGCTTTCTAGAAGGCGGCTCATAATCTGAGCCTAGTGCCTCAGGCCAGGAAAGGGTGGGGGACATGTGAGTGTGCAGGGTGTGGGCATAAGCAAGGCGGAAGATCTTTCTAATACCAACATGTAGCCATAAGGAGCTATTAGAGGGCTCAAGGGGAGGGGGAAAGAGAACAAAGCCCTCATATATTTTCTCTGATCCCAACAAAAACAAAGGCAGGGTTCTCGGTCGGTGGCAGCCTTGGTCCTCCCCACACTGAGTCCTCCCCTGCTGGCCTGAAGCATTGTTCCTTCACTCAGCCGGGACGCAGAGCACTACGCTGATGAGCTGATTTTTATGCTTCTCTTCCTCAAGCCAAAAGCAGGTGGCATCCGTTACAGCTGAACTGTCGCTACTTTTTAAATGGATGTGACAATAAAAAAAGAGAAAGAAAAAGAAAGGAAGAAAGAAAAAAAGAGAGAAAACCACCCTATTGCCCAGTGACAACACTTCCAGATAATCAGGGGAGGGCTGAAGTGGGAAGGGGGAGAAGGGGGTTGAATAAGGAAATCAATTTCAGCCTGAAAGCTCTGAAAGGAGAGGGGACGTGTGAATGGCTTTTTAAGTGGCATCATTAAACCTGGGCAGAAAGGTCGATTGGGCAGAGCAAACCGCATAAATACAAACAGATGACATTTATGTCTGGCAGAATTGGTTTTTGTTTAGTTGTTTTGGTTTTTTTTTAATCACTGAGGTAGAAGACTCATAAGACTTCTTTCTTTTGCCACCAAGAATCAAATCTATGGAAAGGAATGTCCAGAGAAATAATATCCACAGGCATCTTTCCCATATTACAGGATAGAATCCAACAATATCTTGGTTTTTTTCCCCCTCTTTTGGTGAAGGGGAGGAATATCTTCAGGGAGTGGGAGAGAAAGGAGTTAGTCCCAGCTTTGGAAACCCCTCAGCTACAAAATGAGCCAGTAAGTATGTGAGAGGCTATTTCTGTATATACCTCACTCTGGCCATGGTGCTGTGTCACTGTGAGTTGGGAGTCTGTGTGTGTACATCATTGCCATTTCATGTCTGTGTGCATCTTCTGCAGACAAGCACCTCTGTAGAAACCTCAAGGGACCTGCGGACCATCATTTTAGTAGGAAGAAAAGTGTTTCCTGGGGTTATAATGCTATCCAGTATCATAGTGGAAGAATTAAGGTCCAGGCCTGGGGGTAAACTGGGCAACCACAAAAATGTATTAATAAACCAGAACAGTTGTTCCAAGAACAGCCAATCTTAATCCCTGCCTTTATTTTTGGAAAAGTGACCATGTTGCTACATGGGAGAAAGGCGGGTGACTGTCCTTTGAAGGTGACATAGCAGCCCTTGTGGGCTATGCTGGCCTTCTATCTTCCTAGTAAGAGGTAACTGGAAAGGAAGGAAGAAGCAGCACTTGTTTCTTTTCTTCCACCTCCTCTTATATTTCCGTGAGTAGAGACTGAAGACTTTTAAAATCGATGATGTGGTGTGTATATGGGTTTTAGGTGACATGGATGGAACAGGAGGGGGGCGGTCCCATCATCTAGGAAGAGTACAAAGGATCAGAGAAGTCTCAAATCAATTAATCAGGATAGTTTGGAAGAAAGGACATATAACAGGAACTTCCAAAGTAAGGAAACTAGATGATGAAGAGGGCTTCCTCCATTTCTATTGATCTGGGAAGAGTCCAGATGATCTCCTTCCAATCCCAGCCCAGACCTCTGGTGCTGCCAATTTTCAGAACAACAGCTGTTCCGGTTTGCTTAACCTAGCACTAAGTCCAGAGCAGGTAGTGAAAAATTCTTCTCACTTGGTTTGTTTCAGATTCCAAGACCTTGTATCTGAAGATGAAGAGACACAACCACAGAGACCCAATACATATACTGATATACCATGAAGGATTCACATAAAAATGCACATACAAGTATAACTATTTGCACATACACACACTTGTTTTAACAAACAAGAGAAAATGCCCTGCAGTAGTAAGCACCACCAGAGGCTACAGCGGTTCTTGGAGCTGATTTCTACAATTTCCATATCCTGCTGGGAATTTCAAGGTCAAGTGCCCCCGGTGGACACTTAGGAGAAACAGCTACAGACCAGGAATGTAATAAAGGGTAAAGGCTGTTGAATTTAAAACCTCTCAGCCTGTGAGAAAGCCACGTTTGGTCTGGATGAAGGCAGAAGTCACTGCTCCTTGAAGGTAAGAAGAATTGATCCTGTCTTATGAGCAAGATTAATTCTGGAATTCACTCCACAGCATCTAACTAAGAGTGCGAAAACTCTTATGTGAAAGTCTTATTTCCAAAATGGGAAAAACTGTCAAAATGCTTCCCTCTCACCAGAAGAGGGCACTCTGATATCCCACAACAGAGCCGAATGGGGATGGTTGGAGGCTACATTAAGATCTCCTCCCCACTAGAACCCCTGAAGCTGCTTTAACTGCAGGGTAATGCTGTGTCAGGGTCGGGTAAAAGGGAAACAAACAAGGGTAGCTGTACTTGGTCTGCTGGGAGAGTTCTTGGCAGAGGCAGAAAGAGACAGGCTGCATGGCATAAGCCTATTCACCTGATAGCTGTCCCTTCAAAGAAGGCCTTTAGCTATTTAACATGATATTCATTTATTTCCCACTGGAGGGAAAGGAATAGAGTACACAGACCTGTTGAAAGTGTGATATTGAGGATGCAGCATGGAAGGCAAAAGACCCTAGTTCAAGGTCTACGACTGTGACCTCAGGCAAGTCATTTATCCTCTTTGAGTCTTAAATTTCCTCTTCACAAGGTTCTGGTGAGAATTAAAATGACACAATGTATGTGAGCACAAATGAAAAGCAGCTAAACAAATCTAAGATAGGACTTAAAAAGCATTTTATCAACTTCCTCACACTCACAACCAAAAAGTAAAGCTGTCTATAGGAAAAGTGAGTGCAGGAGACAGAGGTAAGCACTTTGTGTCTCAAAGGCATGTGAGTGGTGAGTGTAATGCTGGTTTCGGAGGGAAGGAAAAAAAGAAGAAAGAAAAAAAAAAAACCCACAAGGAACCGAATAAAGTATGTGGCTTCCCAGGGATAGGATGGGGCAACCAACCTTATCTCTCACGAGGTCAACTTTAGCACTCCTGGAAAAACACCAGTCAGGACTCTGGTCTTTTCTTGTAATGGTGTTATAGCTGGGGACAGAGCCAATCCAGGAACTCTCCCACCCTTCCCAGCTCTAGAGCACAAGTCTTTCAGCAGCGTTTGCTCTTGCCAGTACCCAAGACCCTCTAATTCTTTATCCTCTTACCTGAGTACTGCTGTGGCATCTGTGGTGGACTGCAGGGAGAGGGAGACTGAGGCATCTGGTACTGCTCAGAGCCGGGAGGCTGCAGAAACCCTACAGAAGGGCTGGGGGATGAAGAGAGTAGGGTTAAAGTGGCGGAGGGAGGAACACAGCTCCTGGCAACCAGCTGCTGCTTCCCAGGCCTCCCCTGTGGGAAGCAGAGGCAGCTTCCAGCCATTCCCAGACCAATTTGCCATGCAATTTCTAAAATCACTCATCAGTTCAAAGTTAATTATATATATTTGTACTTGATCATCTTTCAATTAGGAAGCTGCTAATCAGTGCTACAGATGGAATGTTAGTGACACATGCTCTTCCCAACAGTGTGGAAACACCAGACATATCCATGTGCACACATGTGCACGCGCGCGCGCGCGCGCGCGCGCGCACACACACACACACACACACACACACACACACACTCTGAGAAACACGAAGTACCAAAAACAGACACACAGTGCTAGAGAGGGATGGGCAAAAAAGAACTAAGGAGGTGTGTGATTTAGGATGTTTACATAACAGCAGAGTTACCTAAAGAGAAGTGGGGAAAAACCCTCACAAACTCAAGATAAGGTGGAGACATACATACAAAAAGTAGTGAACATATACACTGAGAGAAATACACAGAAATACATATAGGCCCAGACTTGACTTCTAGTCCCAGCTCTACTTCTAACTAGCTGGTTGACTTTGAGTAAGTTTCTTAATCTCCCTGGCTGGAATTTCCTCATTTGTAAAAGAAGGGAGAAAAGGAAAACAAGAGGAGTGGATTAAATATTTCTAAGGTGTCTTCTACCTCTAAAATTCTATCAGGTATGACCTATACTAAGATATATATAAATAGATACACCATCTGAGATTCATCCATGGATATAGAGTTACATAGAAAAATTTACATATATATACTCCAATTTGCATCTTTTAATTTTTTTTTTTTTATTTTGAGAGAGAGAGAGAGAATGTGCACATGCAGGGGAGGGGCAGAGAGAGAGGGGCAGGGGGAGAGAGCAGGCTATGCACTGTCAGCGCACAGCCCCACTCGAGGCTTGATCTCACGAACCACGAAATCCTGACCTCAGCCGAGATCAAGAGTCAGCTGGGCTCAACCGACTGAGCCACCAAGATGCCCCCAAATTGCTTCTTTAATGATGAGCAATCTCTATCATATAGTTCTAAATCCCACTGATTAGAAAAAACAAAAAATGGGGGAGATGATGAAGCCTCTGTCTTTGAAGCAGGAATTTTTTTCTGCTGATGAGCTCTTATTCACATGTCAAATCAAAAATGAGACAAGGAGAATGAATTTCCTCATATTCTACCTGCTTTAGGGCACACTGGAATCTCTACCCTTGCCCTTCTTTCTTAGGTCAGTGGAAATAGCTGCTGGTCTATGGCAGATGGGCCCTGACTCGCTGGGAGTCCTCACCTAGTACCGTTCTGCTGAGCCGGTGGGATCATGCTGTAGTACACTGGTACGCCCCCTGCTGGGAGTGCCCCTTGCACAGATTGGCTCGCAGGGACCAGCATGGGCTGCTGGAAAGGCGGCTGGACCACATTCTGCGAGTCATTACCCACTGGGACCTGGGTAGAGATGAGAAGAGAATGACCACTTGTACTCCTAATGAGTTCATCCAGACAATGGCCAAATAAGTCATCACTAGACGAGGACACTAACTTCCTTCCCTACCTTTCGAGACTCCTCCTACTCACCTCATCTGCCTAAAGAAAATACATACAGAGCTATCTCCCTTTGGGCATCTGATGCAGAGAAAGGAGCCTGATTTCCTTTAGATCTTACTTTTCTGGGCCATATACTCATTTGCATGGCTGTATAAAGACCAAACAATTTAAGTAAAGACTCTTCTCAGAATCTTTGGGCTTTCTCTCAGAGGAAAAACACCTACAAATTCTAAGGGGAAAGTGAACAGTATTTTAGTGTTGGGGTTGTCACACTGGCTAACGTGGGAGACTGGCTTCCTTTTCCTCATCCCAAGGACTGGGTGATCTTTCCCAGTACAGAATGTACCCACTTGGTAAGAAGGCAGTGGAGTGTACTGAACCACCAGGCCTTGCATCTGGCCCCCCATGCTGCTCCTCTGGTTGCTGAGCAGGCCCTGGTTCTGTGGCTGCTGGACCCCAATCATGCCTTGGTAAGCCGCCTGCTGCTGGTTAGGCATCATGGGCTGTAAACCTAGGGACGGGCAAGACACAGAAGACATTAGCTTAGCATGGTCTCAACAATGTTTAGGAGGTCACATTCTCTCAGTAATTTCCCTTCTCCTGTCTATTTTACCTTTTCTTTTTCTGAAGATCCTGGGTTCCTTCTGGGACTAATCATTCCTGCTGTTCTTTTTTTTTTTTTTAAACAAGGAAGGTACTACTCTCTTTCCCAGTCTCTGCCCTTCCCCTATTCACTGCCTTCTTACACCAGCAGTTCCTCTTACCAGGCTGCTGGGATGGCTGAGGCAGCTGTTGACCACGTTGGGGGCTGTAGGCCACCGGGTGAGAGAGAGGTCGATATTGCTGGTTGGAGTTAGGATACTGTCCAGGGGGATAATAAGAAACCTGGATCTATGGTGAGAGAAAACAGATATGTGAGAGGGGCCCTTACATTCAGCCCCAACATCCCAACTATGAAATACATCAGGGTAAATAGCCAGAAATCTGTAGAGATATTTGGACCTGTAATTGCAGAATTCATATACCAGTATGAAACAGAACTGGAAGGATTTATGTTATAGAGAAAGACGACCTTCCGACTAGAAAGACAACTCTCAAATGCAAGGTGAGGTAATGGAAGTGGGGATAGGTACGTCCTCGGCTCTGTCTAAACTAGAGGAAGAAAGAAGGATCGTAATCGTGGACAAACTCAATTAGTGATTTTAGCTGGGAGCCCATGCTGCTCACCTGTTGAGGGGGCTGCATGTAGCCCTGGGGCGGCAGGACTTGCTGAGTAGGAGGCGCATGGCTAGAGGGGGAATAGTTGGACGTGGGGAGGGGCTGTCCTGTAGAAGCCATGATGAAGCTAGTCTGCTGAGGGTGCTGGGAGATAAGCTGGGGCTGGAACAGAGCTGAGGATGGGTCAGCTGCTTCAGTAGAACCTTGACGGCTAAGGCTCATTTGTCCAAAGGGGTTGCTGAGGTCATCTGCCTGTTGAGAGAGCAAGGGAGACTCAAGGACTGAGGTCATATCAAGCCCCAAATCTTTGGCTTCAACACAAAACCAGACAGACAGACAGCTATAGCAACCCCCTCTACAGCCTTCCTTCCTTACACCAATTTGGGACACTCCTGCCTCCATGCCCTAGGAGGCGCTTTTTAGCCCTAAGCTTCTGTCATGTGGTGTTTTAAATTGCTATGAACTGGGGGTGCCCGGCTGGCCCAGTCGGTGAAACGTGCAACTTTTGATCTTGGGGTTGTGAGCTCAAGCCCAACATAGGGTGGAGAGATTACTTAAAAATAAAATCTTAAAAAAAATTGCTATGAACTGAACAGCTGTGTAAAGCCCAACTCCAGAACCGGACTCCTTACCACATAACAATGGCCACGGTGACTCTGATCTTTATTAGAATTGGTCCTAGAGAGATGGGAGCAACAATACAACTTTCTATATATATATATATATATAGAAAAAAACAGGACAAACTAATGGGTTAACAAGAAAAAGATTGTAAGTCCTTCTTTTCCGGTCTTCCAGTCTCCAACCATACAAAAGGCCCTATATTGCCATAAATCCTGTTTTTATAATAAAGGACCTAGATAAGTAACACCTCGAATGGATTAGGGATGGTTAGGTTCTCGTGGCTCCCCAGCTTTGCCTATGCAGCGAAAGGACTGGTGGGCTCCCCCTCCTGCTGCTTATCTCCTTACTCCCTCCTCTTGAGGTCATTTCCACCTCTGTTCGCTGACACTTGCCTAGAGTTCTCCTGCCCTTCAGGAACTACTTCCAATTCTCACCTCTGAAAGGAGGCCAGGCTGAGTGGCCAAGGTGAAGGGCAAGGAGGCTGACAGGCTAGTTCTGTAATTGCCTCCTCGCTCAGCCTTCTTCTCTAAGCAGCAAGAGGGATGGTGTTCTGCCTCTCACTTGTATGATGATAGGTTAGAATTTGTTAGCTTCCTCGTTCCTTCTGCTTCCCGGACGGTAGTTGACACACACACACACACGCACACACACACGCAGAGCAGGACTTCTTTTGAAAGAGGAACTAGTAGAAAGAAAAGGCAATGCTTTCCCGTGGTTTCACTTAATTTTCAGGAATCTGATCTTCAAGTTAGCTGTTCTGCTACCTTAGTGAGCAGGAATAGATGATAAGAGGACTGGATTGCAGATAATTTTGAGGTCTACATTCCAAAACTTTTCAGAATGGAGATATAGGCAGAAGGAAAGGGGATTCTAGTGAAAAATTAGAAGGGTGTGGGGTGCCTGGGAGGCTCAGTTGATTGAGCAGTTGACTTTTGGTTTCAGCTCAGGTCATGATCTCACGGTTCATGATTTCAAGCCCTGCATCAGGCTCTGTGCTGACACAGTGCACAGACTGCTTGGGATTCTCTGTCTCCCTCTTTCTTGGCCCTTCTCCCACTCGCTCTCGATCTCTCTCTCAAAATAAATGAATAAACATTAAAAAAACCAAAAACCAGACAGGTGTGGTTAACACAAAATTAAAAATAATCAGGGCTCTGATAACCATGATAAAAGTTATCAATTATGGGGCGGGCGCCTGGGTGGTTCAGTCGGTTAAACACAGAGGACTCTTGATTTCGGCTCAGGTCATGATCTCAAGGTCATGGGACTGTGCCCCAAGTCAGGCTCCTCGCAGAGCATGGAGCCTGCTTGGGATTCTCTCTCTCTGCCCCTCCCCTGCTCATACTTTCTTTCTCTCTCAAAATAAACAAACATTAAAAAAAAAAAGATGTTAAGTTAAAAAAAAAGTTATCAACTATGAGGTGGATCAGGTCTTCATAGGATTTGTAGCTAGGGTACAAACAATTTAAACAGCATGTGCTATGCCGCAGAAATGGAGCTTTTTTTTTTTTTTTAAATATAAAATAACACAGTAACATAGGGGAACATTTTAAGTTTGGACCGATGATACCAAACAAATCTGCAGTTGTGTTTTTACCTTCAAAGGAAATGACAGAAAACCATCCTATATGGGATAAACTGGGTTCTTCAGACATATCCAGGGAGGAGGAGGGATGAAAGATGCACACAGTAGAAAGACAAGGAGCCCAGGTTAGAGCAATATCCAATTCTGTACCTCTCCCGAGACTCAGGGGAACCAGCGCTCCTCTCTGTCTTACATTTAGGCATCTTTTGATGCCACAAGTGCTGGGATGAGGCCGCCAGAATGGAACATAGCTCAGCCTATGCTGGCCCTTTGCTCAAGAAGATATGCCTTTTAACATGGCCCTCCAAAAAGTACAGCTGCTTTGTCCCAGACGGACCCACAGACATACCACACATGGACACGACAAAAAGGGGAAAGGAGTTTATACCATGTTGTACTGCTGGGGCGGAGAGACTGGCAGAAGGACTTGGGGACAGGAGCCTGGAGAGAACTGAACAGGCTGCGGAGAGGGCTGCAGAGCTGGGACTGGCTGTGGACCAGCAGAGAGGCATGTGGAACAGGGAAGAGAAAAGGGAAGTGCAGGGAGAGGCAGGGGGAGGGAGGGTAGAGGTGGGGAGGGAAAGGGGAGGAACAACAAGGTTAATCATAAAAAAATGTCACATGAAGAGCAAGGCTGCTGAGCAGACTGGAGACCAAGCCCAGGACAGCCTGTGGCTTTCGCATCCGCATCGGCGACAGATACGCAATCTCTCCTATCAGGAGAGGCCTGCTGCAGTGCGCACTCCACCCATTAGCTACTCAGAACTCTGCAGTCGTTGAGAGCAATCTTAGGACTCTCAGAGCCGGTGTGTCTGCTGCCTGATTCCAAACACGGCTTTTCCCAAAGCATTTTTTCTGAACATACGATCCCTGGGGAGCACGACCATAACCCTCCTTGAATGCCCACTTAAGAAGGGATTCCTGCTTTTGTAGGAGGGGTCATCCAAGGTCTGGCTCAGCTTTCCCGGCCACACTCCTGATTTCACACCACAGCTCTCCTGGAGGAAGAGCTCATTCACAAGGATTGTCTCCCTCCCAAGGGTACAGAAGGAAGTAAGAGCCAGTTTATGCCCAGTTCCAGCTACTTCCTCCTGCTCCATGATTGTTCTGTGCTCCTCCAGGCTGTGAGGGCAGTATGAAAAATGCCCCCATAAGCAAACAGGGAGGGATGTAGAATAAAATATAAATAGCCTTGCTTTAGATTTTGTTCCTTTAGTCCCTTCACTAGCCTCAAGCAGGAGGATTTGTTTATTAGGAACATGATGTGTTCTAAACCAACTAATGGGGAGTTATTTTTTTTCTCTCTTCTTCCCCTCCAGCCATTTCAATCACTTCTCCTGGAGAATCGGTTCTCTAGCTGTAGCCTCTGGTGGTAGATGAGGTGGGAGAAAAGGAGAGAGGCTACGAAGAGAGGGGGAAATAACATTTTATACGTTATCTCATTTACATACATATCTCATTACAGACTCACAGTAATCCACAGGGAGACAGGATCGCTTGTATTTGCAGTTAAGGTAGTAAGGCTCAGAGAAATTCAGTCACACGTCCAGGATCACACATCTAATGTGGCAGAGCTGGGATGGGAACCTAGTTCTGCCTGACATATTCTTCCCACTCCACTCTTAACAGTAGGGAGCGGGTGAAGGAAGAAGTTAAACAGATTTACACATTGTTTTGTTTGTATGATTCTCCTCCCTCCTTCCAAATTTAGAGTATTAAGAGGTATCAGGGACCAAGGTGTCAATATGGTCTTTTGCCATATACTTCCGGGAGACTCTTTCATAGAGGGGACTAGCAGTTCTGGAGGCAGAGTCCGGGAATTAGAAGACCTCCAAAACAGAGAAAGCTCCTGATACCTGGAGTTTGTTGAAAATAAAATGTAAGTCATCTTGGTTAAGAAAAACCTCCTGAGAATCCACTGTGAGACTGGGGGAGACATTACCGCAGCCTTGAGAGACTCCCAGCTCTCCTGGCATGCCCATGTTCTGTGAGCCAGTGGCATTTCAAATGCAACTGCTGGCCAAGCTGCTCAGCATGAGCTCCTTGTGCTGGTAGCTTTTAAACACGTGTTCTATTACCCTGATCCTCTCCTTCCTCTTGGGGAAGGGTCTACTATGCTTCAGATCTTACATCCTTTGGGGGAGAAGGGGTAGCCATAGGTACAGCTGCCTGTTTTCCTCACATTTCTTACACATTTGAGTAAAAAGTAAAGAGGGAAGAAATGATGCTCCTCTCGTAGGCCTCTTTTGACTGAAGAAGAGTAGTGGTAAAAGTATGTGTCTCAGTGCTATTTTTAGGTTCTTCTACCACTACCCTCAGCGATAGTTCTCAGTCTCAAACCCCAGGGCTAGGGAGCTTCCGAAATACCATGAGGAAGCCAAAGACTGGCCATGAGGGATACGACTGCCACCTGCTGGTGAATTCTGGGCTAGATCACTGGCTCTGGGCTGCCTGACTTGATTCCCAGAGGACTCCTCCTTTCCAAGTGGTCCACTCTACCTTAGGTAAACACAGCAAAAGGTAGCCACTGGCCCTTTAATTCTCAACCTCACCCCTTGGTTTTACATAGGGAGGTCTGCTCGGACAGCGGAGGCCTGCCAGGAAGGAAAAGTTTAACATAGTTTCTAGCACTGTCCCCAGGCCTTGGAACACAGAGCTTTTCTTGCTATTTCTCCGAAAGGAAAACCTTTAGAGTCAGCACGGTGGCATGTATGTGTGTGTGGTTCCTTCCTTCATCCCTGCACTGTTGCAAACCATTTGTGAAACTAAACAATAAATATGCTGGGGCTCAGCACCTTGAGACTGGAGAGCCACCAGTCCTGAGAGGGAAAAAGAGAAAAAAACAAAGAAAGAAAAAGGCAATAGGAAGAAGAAGGGATAGAGAGAGAGGGCGAAAAGTGGAGAGGAAAAAAAAGAAGGTGTAAACAGTGGGGTGGCGGAGGCGCCTGGGTGGCTCAGTCCGTTAAGCGTCCAACTTTGGCTCAGGTCATGATCTCACGGTTTGTGGGTTCGAGCCCCGCGTCGGGCTCTGTGCTGACAACTCAGAGCCTGTATCCTGTTTTGGATTCTGTGTCTCCCTCTCTCTCTGCCCCTCCCCCACTGTCTCCCTCTCCCTCTCTCTCTCTCTCTCTCTCTCTCTCTCTCTCTCTCTCAAAAGTAAATAAACATTAAAAAAATAAATAGTGGGGTGGTGGTAGTATATTAGTCACCATCATTAAGTGCTTCAGGGACACCAAAACTTAACCAGGAAAAGATCTTTTAGTTTGGAGTCTGTGATCACAGTTAACATTAAGAATGGATTTCTTGGGGCGCCTGGGTGGCGCAGTCGGTTGAGCGTCCGACTTCAGCCAGGTCACGATCTCGCGGTCCGTGAGTTCGAGCCCCGCGTCAGGCTCTGGGCTGATGGCTCAGAGCCTGGAGCCTGTTTCCGATTCTGTGTCTCCCTCTCTCTCTGCCCCTCCCCCGTTCATGCTCTGTCTCTCTCTGTCCCAAAAATAAAAAAATAAACGTTGAAAAAAAAATTTTTTTAAAAAAGAATGGATTTCTGAGGAAACAGAGATCTCCAATCTACAGGGCCTAACCTAGTACTATGCCTCCTGCAGGAGATCAGTCAATATCAATGACTGACTCACAGAACCTCATGATCCAGAAGTAGGGCCAGAATATGAGTAAAAGTTTGGGATTTAGGGCCAGACACCTAGACATTCTAACATTTTTTCAGTCCCAAATGGTTATTCTAGTGATCTCTTTATTCCTTTCCCACTCTTGTCTGTTTCTAGATATGGATGGAAGTAGGAGGCAGATGAAGACTAAGACGGAGAAAAGGGAGGAAGACTGTATTAAAATACACACATTTTAGAAAACTCAAACACTGGGACCTTAGAAAACTGAGGCACACACAGAAACACAGTAGGAGATACCCAGAGAGAGAGAGGTGTACCCATTTATAGGTCTGAATGAAGACACAAACGGAATGCACACACGTGTGCCACACCTCTGTACGGAGTGAGGTAAGCTGACATGAATGAGACTTAATGAGATAGATGGTGATCAAGCAAGAACAAAAGTCAGAACTCTAGAGAAACTGACTTAGGGGCCAAGATAAAGGCCTGGAATGATCTGCATGTGGGTTACATTAAGACACAAAGCAGGGTTTCCTAGATGATTACAATATCAGAATGGGGTAATACGGGGCCCTTTGCAGTCTAGTTTCCAGTTCCTGGGGTGTTAATGCTTGTGATTTGCTTCTTTTACCTATGGAAGAGATAGAGCTGATGCCAAGCTGAACTGACTAAGCCCAGAGGCGAGGGAGCCTGGGAGGTGCAATGAGAAGAACTGTAGCAGGAGAGTGCAGACATACGGGCTTTCTGACTGGCAGAGACCACCGCCAGACATACCCCAGGATACAGGATGGACTCCACTCATGAGCAGCTCTGCTCAGAGTATCAGGGAGACCTGAACCTACAACACTGATGTCCCAGTTTAGAATAGGTTCGGATTCTGATGCTGAAGACTTGTGTGATCTCTACAGAAAGGAAACTTCACGCAAACCCTACTTGATATTAATATCTACCAGTCCAGCAACAGAAGGAGAAAGAGCTCTTTCGTGGCATGGGAAACAAAGACAACTTTGGGGGGATTGTGCCTTATGGCATATGTATGGAAGGGGTCTTGAGTAGATTTCCTTTTCTCAAACCCCAATCCATAAATATGTGTTTGCGGGTCAACAGTCATATGAATACATCCAGCTGGTTATGGTGAGAGCCATGATTTTTTTCAAGCTCCATATATGGATGCAGTGAACAAAATCGCCTTGCTAATTACACAGGATGTAGAGGGAGATGGGGTACAGCAGAAATGTGGAATGGGGTAAAAGATCCCACTGGCAATTCTCAGGAAGAAAAGGAAGAAACAGAAGGCAAAAAGCTCCCAGGCTGACTCTAAGAGCACTTTGGCCAAACCCTTACCTTACTCTTCTCTCCCCACAACTAACAAATAAGAAACGGGGGAGCGAGTGGCAGGTCTCCAACAACAGATCTTTCCTGCCACCCACAGCACAACAGACATGACTGTACTTCCAGAGCTTGCTTGAATCAGAGCGGAGGGGCTCTGCTGGTGACTCACCTGTGAGATCATGTGATTATTCAAGGGTGGCTGTTGCTGAGGCGTGGGTGGGAGCGCAGGAAGTTGCTGCGGCTGTGGCTGTGGCGGCTGCTGCTGGGCAGTACAAGGGAGAAGGCCCCGGACAGACTGGGATGAGGTGACCTGGTTGCACACTTCTGGGGCACCTAGCGCCAAACCTAAGGCAAAGAGGAGACCCACCAAGAGTTGTAAGCACCAGCCGTGAACATGCCACCCTTGGACATGTAGGGTGCTACTCCTGCTCTGCTGTTTCTCTTCACTTCCCTTCTGTCCATTTCCCCCACTGTCTTGGGAAGATCCGTAAATGAGCACAGATATGAATGAGCAGCTGCCCTGCTGATGGGAGTCCTCATCTTAGCAGGTGTCTGTTCCCCGGGAACAGTAAACACCGCACCCGTCGATACTGGATTTTGGAATTGAACAAAACGTGAGGCTGACAAGCTGCCTCCGCTGAAGTACCGAGAACCTGTCCAACATGACCAGACAGCTGAGAACATGACTGTCTGCTTCCTGGGAAGGTATAGATTCCCAGTCCTGTAAGAGACCTGGCTTCTCTTGGATTTCTCCTCAACTTGCAGCATTTCACAGGAGTTGCTGAGAAGGCAATCTGGCCTTTCCAAGCACTTGCCTGTACACACACATACGCACAACTGTCACCCAACTATTCTTCCCACTTCCAGGCTCTCCAAGTCATGCACGCATTCACACAAAATACTTCTACTAAGTATCTGCTATGTGCTAGGCATTGTATAATGAACTGAGGACTCAAAGGTGAAGAGAACACAGTCCTTTCCCTTAAGCAGCACAGGATCTTCCGAAAGGAGATGGACGTTCACACAGCAATTACGATCTGATAAGGATAAGGGATGCATCAGTGATATGAACAAAGTTGTACGGAAGCAAAGATGAGAAAGCAGTAACTCACTTAAACAGGAAGTGGGAGGAGAAATGGATTTGCAGGAATGAATAGAAGGCTTGTTAGACCAAGGAGGGATGAAGCTAATATCATATTCAAGAAATGGCTGGAGGGCCAGAGGAGGAAGGATATCTGGGAGTAAGACTGAGATGGCAAACTGGGGTCAGGAAGCAACGCTACATTAAGTCATTCGGATTTTATTATGCCAGGAATGCAGAAACATGAATGTTAATTTTAAGAGACGACTGACACGATTAGATCTGTGTTTTAGACTAGTAAACCGGTTCTAAAAGGGCTGAGGGTAGAGCAGGGAAACCAGCTTGGGGGCTAGCGTCATACCTAAATAAAAGAAGATAAAGACCTGGATAAATGCAGAGGCAGTGGGGTTAGAGAGGAGGTAACAGAGAAGGCCATCAGAGACCTAACAGAGGCAGAATCTTCACCACTACTGATGTCTTCTGAGGACAAAACCTACAGAACTTCTGGGATGAGATGCAAGGATTCTTCAGAGATGGGAGGAGGGTGAAATGGAGGCCCACTGGGTATAAAGAGCTAAATACCCCCTGCTAAGAAAGAGTACAACAGGAATAGATGGAGGAGGTTACATTGCACATCAGGAGAGCTGAAGGGTGGTTACAGGGCTGGCATGTGGAACATATGCTCCTCCTCAGTGACTGGGCTCCAGGGAAGCAGCCACAGCATCTCTTGCAGTTGTGGCCATTCGGTTGCTACCAATTAATTACAAACAGCTCAACTCCAAAGGTTCCTTCTGCTCAACCAACCCTCTTTATAATCTCAGAGGCCACAGAATGAAAGCAGTATCATTCTCATCTTAGCATATAACTTGAACTTGGGCTGACAGGGATGTCCAACCTTGGTCAGAAATAAGATAAAATAATCTAATCGCAACCTTTTATTTATTTATTTTTCCAATTAGGAAAGAAGGTTTGAAAGAAAATCGGAGAGAGGAATCAAAAAACAGGGGATCCAAGAAATCAGATTTCTCCTCATCTGGCTATGTTAGCTTTCCAGGACACTATACTGTGAGAAATGTTTTGTTAGAAGTAAATATCAGTGATTTAAAAAAAAATTTTTTTTTAAGTTTATTTATTTTTGAGACAGAGAGAGAGACAGAGCATGAACGGGGGAGGGTCAGAGAGAGAGGGAGACACAGAATCGGAAGCAGGCTCCAGGCTCTGAGCTGTCAGCACAGAGCCCGACGCGGGGCTTGAGCTCACGAACCGCGAGATCATGACCTGAGCAGAAGTCAGATGCTTAACCGACTGAGCCACCCAGGCGCCCCTCAGTGATTTCTTTTTAAACATTTATTTATTTTTGAAAGACAGAGAGAGACAGAGTGTGAGTGGGGTAGGAGGAGACAGAGAGGGGAACACAGAATCCGAAGCAGGCTCCAGGCTCTGAGTTGTCAGCACAGAGCCTGATGCGGGGCTTGAACCCATGAACCGTGAAATCATGACCTGAGCCGAAGTCAGGTGCTTAACTGACTGAGCCACCCAGTGCTCCAAACATCAATGATATTTTAGAGGAGACAAGCAAGAAATGATGAGTATGACACTGAAGGACAGAAGCTGTAGTACCTGGCCTGGAGATCCTTCCTGCACTGCCACCTTTACTGCTCCCGATGCTGTCCCCTCGGGTGAGGATAGAGATTCCACTGAAGCTGCTGGCTTTGGTGACAGGGGGCCGCATGCTCCGGACAGAGCCATCAGAGTCTGTGCTGCTCCAAGGCCGTGGCTCCAGGGATTTGAGTTCGCTGTCTGTGCTGCTTTGGCGGCTGCTTGAGGTTCGGCTCAGCCCCTCACGGTTCCCCCTGCAGAGACCACAGTGGTCAGAGCACCCCCCACCTACCACTTCGGCAGAAGGGCTAGGAGAGAGTTCATTTCTATTCCTTCGATAACAAAGAAGGGGTGGGGGTTGGGAGGAGGATGGACACTGATTTCTTGTTAGTTGGCTGGCCAACCAAGACTTGCTGGGAGCAGACAGAACAAGATCCAGTACAGTAACAAAGAGCACAGAGGCAAATCTGGAAGATAGTGCGCTGGCAGCTAATTCAATATGAGACCAGAGGTGGATGGGAAACCATATACATGATGCTGAGATTGGCTGCGGTCTCTTCCCCTGCCCCCGCAGGGATCCCACACATGCAGGAGATAGTGGGGAGCAGAGGGGTACCACCTCCTTCTAGGAGTTCTTAAGACAAAAGGACTCCTAGAAGCTACTATTGCTAGAAGGCAGGGGTAGCCAATGACATGGATAAATATAACAGGTCTTCCACATAACATGTGTCAAAGCCAGCAGAGGTACCACTTTTCCAGGGGTGGGAAGAGGACTATATTCATTAACGGGTCATTCTGGAAAACTCAATCTGATAGTCTAAAATTGACCCAACCTGTTTTGTGGCAATTCTGTGATGGTATCTACAAACTACTGGTTCCAGGGTCTCTAAGGGCTAAAGTCTTCAACATGATCAAGTAAATATGCCCTTGGGACCCAGGATGGCAAGGAGTAGGGGGCTCACTGTGCGCACCTGCCACCATATTAATAACTCTATTGCCCCAGGCAAGGCACAAGGCTATTGAGAAGAGGGACCCCTCCTCTCTTATTTTTCTCAGGAAGCATCAGGGTTATCCTGATGCTGTAATCACTGCCTAGGATCATAAACAGTTGTCCTCAGGACAGATGGGGTTGACCTAAAAACCCTAAGTCTTACTGAGCCCTTACTGCTTCTTAATAAGCAACCAAGAACCAGGAATTTTCCTTTCATATCTCCCACCCCCAATAAGTTCTGAACTAAAGAAACCAAAGGCAACAATTACAAAGGTTTTGGTATATATACTGGGGAGCAGGTGAGCAAAAATCATAGTAGCTTGGGTTCCCTCCTTTGCACTACCATCCCACCTAAAGCAAATACAAACGCCATCCAATCCCCTTAGTTTCAAAGACACGAGGTTCAGAGTTATTCTCATTAAAAAAAAAAAAGGTGTTTTCTTATGAGGGTAATATTGAAGAAAATACCTTTCTTTATTAGAATACCTGCTCCAAAGGTACTGTAGGGAAAATGGGCAAAAATAAAGACTAGGGTCACTATTTTAAGTTTTGGTCAAGGCAATCATGGTGGGCTAAGAACAAACACACTGGCATAGCTGGCTAGGGACATGCTAATTCTTCTCCGAATCCCAAGTGGATATATATATATATAATTTCAGTGCTTCTCTCTATGTAAGAGTACTGGAAAATATCCCTGTCTCCCTAAAACTGTATCCCTTTGTCTTGGGAATGTCAAAAGTAGAATGGGAAACAAGAAAGAAACATAAATCAGGGGCTCTCCAGGAACAAAACCAGACCTGAAGTGAGAGCCAATAGCTCTGACTCAATGGACAAAGGCAAGCCTACTGAGAGGACTCAATAAAGATGTGTCTGTTTATGGGGCAGCGAATATAGCAGTGGCAATGGGTGAGATTAGAACTTGAATTTTACAAGACAAGTCCTAATGGACTTTTACACCTAAATCAAACACAGCACTATCTTTTAGGACAATTCTCCCATTAACTTTCTCTTTCTACTAGAGGTAAACAGTGAATGAGTCAACTTTAAACCAAACACCCTGGGAAGCTTGAGCCAAAGTGGCAGCACTTCTGTACTCATCCAGTTCCCCCAAGACGATGATGGCCAAGTGTTCGAAATGTGGCTAGTCTGATGGTCTAGCCAGGGTTCGTACACTACACCCCCAAGAGTTAGGGAATCTGAGTTGTGTATTGGCCAGGAAAGAGATCAGTTTTTCTTCTCTACAACTAAACCATGTCTTTCCACTTCACTAAACATAAGGCAACTAGGGAAAACTCCCAGACTCAGTTCTAAGCCCTGGATTGGGCTATGTGTGTGTGTGTTGGAGAGATGGGGGTACAGGACAGAGAGCATTCACACTTCATACTCCTGTAAAATCAAAGCTGACCTAGCTTTCATGAGTAGATTTATGATGGTGAAAAGTTCAGTTTATCAGGTCTGAAGAGTGGGTAAGGAGGCCTGTGTTAAGAGGTGACAGTAAATGTCAGTAATGGCTTATTTATCAAATGGAATAGAATCTTCCAAAGAACTAGGAAGTTGCCCTAGTTATTGCCAAAGTGGATGATGGAATGTGGTATATCAGTATTTGTGTCATACACTTGGGAAGAAAGGTATAAAGCAGTTAGAGAAGACCAGCTTCTCATCACTAGAATTCTGGACTAGTACCCAAATAGAAGATACCCCCTTCAGAGTCCATGGAATTGCATATTAGATGACCTAGATCTTTAACCAACAAATAGTATGGAAAGCAGCAGCTTACAAGGAGATATGGATAGGACAGGGTTATACCTGCTCACTAGATCCTTGGAGCTATTATCAGCACAGTCTGATGTAGTTCAATGCTCCACAGCACTGATAAGGGCATCGTTCTTAGCAGTGAATCTGAATTAGGGTTCCAAATGGAACACTACTCAGAGAGGAAGGGGTGATATTTGTAGAGAGCTGGTGTGGTGTGGTGAAATAACACTGGAAAAAGAGTCCCAGTTTTGCCACTAATAGCCACATAAACTTAGGTTAGCTACTTAATTTCTCTGCTTTTGTTTTCTTTCTTCCGTGTAAACCAGCTTACCAAATCAGGACACTGAGAAATCTGAATCAGATACAGTATACTTTGGCAACCATAAAGCCCTGTGCATTAGCATGTGCAAAGAAGTTCGCTTAAAACTCCTGTTTATTACAGATATTCTGGGATGATTCATGACCTTGAAGTATACAATATGGAACAGGAATTTATTTATTTTTTTTTTGGGGGGGGGATCTATTTTGACCACCATGAACAATGCAGAACCTTTACTGCCTAAGGGCTTTCCGATGGACCTCAGGGTGGGATGGTCTAGGAAAAAGAGTTCAGAGATATGGGAAAGGAGATAACGCCCCCCTTCAAAGAATGAGAAATCTTGTGATCCAAATTTCTATGTGGTCTGACTAACTTTAGAAAGGACAGGGGGGAAGGGACAATTGAAGTGCTGGGAATGAGAGCTCTGACTAATCTCAGTTCCCATCAAGCTTAGGATTCAAAAAGAAAGAAGCCCTTTGGAATGGGTTAGACCTGAAGCCTAGTATTGAATACTCAAGTTTTCTCTACTCTATAGTTGTCCTATCGGTAAAATGGGAAGAATATACTTAAACTCAGTTGGTACCAGATAGGGTCCTAATGAAGTGCTTCTCTCATCACCACATTGTGTGATCCTCTAGAGTAGGACTGAGAGACTAAAATGAAAGGGAGATTCTCATGACTGCTTTGTGGAAAATGGGAGAATATTAGGCCTGAAGAAGTTAATATAGCAGCTTTCACCAATGTTAACAGCAAGTCATGGGCAGTCATATAAAAAAGATATGCTCTAAGTCCATTCTAAGGAAGAGAAGTCTTTTCTGAGGTCATCTTACACATTATGTTGTCCCAAAGAGAAAACTGCATAGACAGAGATGTTTGTATGTGTTTTTATATGTGTGTATGTGTGTGTGTTCTATTCTTTCTTAAAGACATAAAACATTCCCTACACTGGGTCAGGGATAAGCTCTTTACACCTTTCATAGCAGAAAACGTAGCCAGAAGATACCCATTCTTTTACCTTAATATAAATACATGTTGAAATCCTCCCCAAATGCCCAATTCCAGCAACTTCTGGAAATGAGCAGTTCCTATCCCAGACACACCTATTTGGTCCCCTTCACCACCTATCCACGACTTAAAATGAGATCAGCAACAACAAAAATAAAGTCATTGAGCAGGAGCCATTTCTTTTTTAATCGGGAAAAATATCCAATGTTGCAAAAACCACAAAGTGAATTATTCCACAAGCAGCCATGCATGGAGCAAACTCACTCCGCTGAAAAGATTACAGCAAAACAAAAACAAAACAAAAAAAGAGAAAAAAAAAAAAAACAAACAATGACAAGGAGAGATATAGATCACACAGAGGTACCTAAAAATCTGCCTTCTCTTGTGAGAGCTAGAAGAAAAGGCTTCTTTGGAGAGTCTGTTGGTTAACATCAAAGAAAAGCATCATTACAGGATTATATTAACCTCACTGACAAAGCTCAATGAGAAGCAGGGAACATGCTAAGTGGTACTAACCTGATGTCATTTAGATATCCGTTCTGGCCAGTCTAGGTGAAGGGGAGAAAACGGAAAATAACTTATAAGAAAACAGCATGGCATAACCGAAAAGGGTGTCCGTGATGCTATGAATACCCAAGGTCCTCAAACCACGCTCACCCCCCAACAGGGAGAGAGGGAGCAGGGACAGGATGACCCACACCCACACACCCAATCTGACCTCTCACCTTTAGTGGGAAAGAGCATTCAGTGTTTTTAGCCTTCCCACAGAGTGTTTAAAAAGAGACGCTGATAAAAGTGGGAGTATGGAAAGGAGGAAGAGGAAAGTATTAACCTATTATTTCCTTTTTAGTTCTAAATTTATTCTCCCTAAGAGGTAAAGCTGAGCATAATAATTGGTGTGCTTGGTCCTAAAGAGTGTGATCAAGGGAAGGGAAAAGGGAGACAAGAGAAAGAAATTTAGTTTTTTTTTTGGAAGTCACCCTCAATGACTATTCCATTTCTATCCTCCACACTGGCCAAAATGAAAGACATTCTGACCTGAGACCCAAGGAGAGTAAGAAATTGGGGAAGCAGGTACTTTTTCGGAGCCTAGAAAAAATGAAAGAATTAAAAGCCTGCAACATTCCTTTTGGGGATCATTTCCTGACAAAGCCACTGAGCTGAGTGAAGTGAGCATTATGATGCACTCCCAAGCCTTAGAAAAAGGTACCAAGAGTGTCCAGCTGCTGAGCAGAGTGGGCTCCGGGCAGACCAGAGCCTAAGTGGGGCAGCTCTCCCAGTACACAGCTCAGGCTCCAGAGAAGGTTGCAGCGGCAGCATTTCCATCCAAACACCCTTCTTGCCACTTCCCTTTCTTGTTGGCCTGCCTCTTCCTCCCATTTGCCCCTACCTACGACTCCACCCTTAATCAGCTCCCTCTGACTGGCCAGGTTCCTCTCCACAAGGGAATCTCGAGTATGGTGGGCTTTGGACATGTTTCCTTGTCTAGACCTTCTGAGATTCCTGATGCTTTTAACACAACAAGAGTTAGGAAGTGCTGAAATGAAAAGTGGTAAATCCACAAGGATTTAACAAAGAATACATAAATTAGTAGAGGCTTGAGAGACTGGAAATCAGGAGAAAAAAGGAGAGAAGAGCTAACTGTGATTTTGTTACAGTTGTACACACTTATGTTCTGGTGTTCCTAATTAGCCCCAATACCTTATTAAAAGCTACTTGTGCTTTCAGAGGCTCTATGGCTTTGCTAATGGCTGGCATGGTGGGACAGTCATTTACCATGTGTCAGGGAAACAGAGCAGCACATCACAGATAGCTATACTATGATATCACTGGTACTTCCTAATCTGAAAAGCCCAGAGCAGAGCAAGCTATTGAGAGGTGGTTTACTTTAGGGGTTAAGTTTAGGTGGTTTACTTTAGGAGCCAGACTGCTTGAGCTCAAATATCAACCCTTTCACCAACTAGAGCTCTGATCTAAGATTACTTAACCTTCTATGCCTCAGTCCCTCATTCATAATGAGGAAAATAACATAACCTACCTCAAAGACCTAGTGTGGATTAAATACATTTATGCAGAGTGCTAAGAACAGTGTCTCAAAGATAGTAAGCACTATATAAATGTTTGTTATTATCATCCACCAACCTGCTCTGTCCACAACTTAGGGTCATCGTCGGCCACAGCCATGTACAAGTGACCTCTCTCCTCTCGTTCCACCCAACTGGTTTGCAGGTAAAGGCAGAGGACCCTCTTTGGGCTCTGGTTGGATAATCTGGAGGACAGACTTTTTTCTGACTCAGAATGGAAGTCTATATAACAGAAGGTAAGATGATTCCTTCTCCTTGGTCAGGAGGTTTGTTGTGAATCTGTCCCCACTGAGGATCCTTGGAACACTTGGGTCTCCTGAGACAATGGAACACGTTCATAGAGGAGTTCAGTTTTCTTGAAGTCAGAGACAATGTTTTTCTGAGCTAGGTGATGATGGAGAGATAAATGTTTTTTTTGTCTTGCTGACGGAGGGGAGAGTGGGGAAATGAGAGGAGAGTAGTGTTCATCAAAGTATATTGATTAGAATTGGCCATCTTTTGATTACAAAGGTAGGCTGGCTCTTCCTCCTTTGTTTGCTAATTTGACTGTAAGACAGTGCTGCTATCTTGAGCCTACATTTTCTGGAGATCTGTTCCTCTCTTGCTTATCTACAGCCTTTCCTGAATTTCTGCTATACTTCTCTTCAGTCTTGTAGGCAAAGGCCACCAAATACAGGGGTACTGGGTGTATTTAATATGGCCCACACTTCTTAAGAATAAAGTTGCCTAAAGTGATCGTGTTGCCTTCTGGCCCACAAAGTCCATACTATTCTAAGAAGCAAGGTAGGAAATAGAGGAAGAAAGAGACTTCCTGTTCAGATAGAGACAGGAGGGAATAGTAAGTGGTACCCTCTGTGCATGTGGAATGTGGAGCTCAGAGAATGGATGCCAGATCTGTGCTCTAACAACCACCAACATATCCTAAAAATGAGGCTGGCCAAACAAGATGGATGTATATAGGCTGTGTGGATACTAAGTTTTCCACTTAGAAGCAAAGATGCCTAAAATGGATAGTGGGAGTGAAAGAGGGGAAGTGGGAGAAGGGATGGACAGGCAAGAGTCAGGGCCCTCCATAAGGCCTGCCAAAACCATTTCTATTTTCAGTCTAATCATATCTACCAAATTCAGCCATTCCATTTGTTCTCTTGGTATGCCATACTGCAAAGTATATGAAAAATAATACAAATAAAAATCTGCAGTTTCCCAGTAAGCCACATTTGAGAACCAAACTGGAGCTGGCTGATGTTGGTTAAAAAAAGACAACAACAAAACATTTACGGAGGGTTCATTCCAATCACAGTTCCAAAGATTAAGAGCTAAAAGCTATGGGCTGACAACTCTCAGAAGCTACACTTACCTCTCGGGCAAATATTCTCTCTCGGACCCTTTGATATTCCTCCTCTCTCTCTTCTATTGACTTGCTCCTCCTTCCATCCTGCAATGGAACTCTGATCTAGATCGATGAGCAGAATTAAGCTAGTTAAGTTCTCCTCGTACTGCAAGCTCACTGCACACCAGCAAGGAAGAGAAACCGGGAGAGTTTATAGTTGCCATCAAAAAAATGGAAAAAAAAAAAAGAAATAAAATTTCCAGTGTTGGACAGGTTTCACTGGGTACATCTGACCATGCAGTTTGGGAGATCAGGTTTTCTGGATGATTGGAACCTCTTCGTCTCCCCACCCCCACCCAGAGTGTCAAGAACAACAACTATTTATAAGGACTGGGTTGCTTCCTTTTAGTAATCAGGTACTAAGGATCAAGAGAATAGCCCAGGGAATAAACAATATTGCTTTGGAGGGAAAGAAAGGGATAGTAGGAAGCTAGCGAGGGAGAAGAAACAGGTATTTAGCAGAGCCGAATGTAGAGAAGAGTTTTACAGAACTAGCACCTGATATTATCCCTTCTTTACTCACTAATGCCATGGCCTGAAGATCCAAGTCACACACAGCTCAGCAAAGAGGGCCTTGGGAATGAAATCCAAGTGAAGCTAACCTCAAAGCTTAAGCAGTTTTTCTCCTCTTAACTATAGCCACTGGAGGGAGGGAAAGAGACAGAAATTACAGAAATAGAGAAGAAAGAGAACAGAGCAACATAAAGAGGAGAAGAGAGAGAAAAGGAGAACAGAACAGAAAGAAGGATGGACAGGGAAAGGAAGAGACAAATAAGGTACGGTGGAAAGGAGAGAGAGAGAGAGAGAGAGTGATAGAAAGGGAAAAGAAGGAAATGGAGGTTAGAGAACTTTAAATTCTCTGAAAAATGTAGAGAAGGTGATGAGGGATGACTGGGCAGATCACCACCTCTGGCTAGCCCACCACCCAACTCTCCATCATCGTTTTCCTCTCTTGGCCTGTTGAGTTGTGAGCACTGTCCTGGGTAGGGTGTCATACACAGTGTCCTTTTCCATACTGCTCTTGAAGGCAAGATGCTCTGGGGGAGACAACCCGTCCAATGAATGTCATCAGTTATAAAAGATTCTGACCTTTAATCCAGAGGCTCTGAAAGCTTCAGATGATGCAACCAAGGAGGCTGCTGCTCTACGCTGATCTTCCTGATCTTCACCCATCTCCACGGGTAGGTATAACTTCAGGAGTATCAACTTTTCACTAGATTTAACTCTCACTAGCATTAAGAACCTAAATTCTACTCAATGTCTTTTTACAAATCCCATTTCAAGAAGACATAGGACCTCAAGTACCCCTAGCACTGGTGAACCAGTGACAGAGCAGAAAAAGTATAATGGGCTTTGAGGTCAGGCAGAATTTCAGCTCTGTCACTTCTGAAAAATGTTATTTCAGGCAAGTAACTTAACATCTCTTAGCCTCGGTTTTCTTATATTTAAAGTGGAGCTAATAACCCCCATGTATACTGGGTTGTGGAGAGGATTAAAAGAGATAATGCACAGAATGTGTTTAGAACAGAATCTAGGTCAGGGAAACACTCAAAAGAAATAACAATTAATGTATTTATTATTAATATCACGGACCGAAAATGCAGAGAGCCTACCCTACTATGGATCAAGCCTGATGCTGAGAGATGAAAAGTTCGTAATATGGACAGATTCTACTCCGCCCCAATGTGCCTCTAGGCCTGAATAATTCCTGATCCACAGAAAAAGGGTTTTGGGAAAATGGAGAGAAGGGCATCAGGATGGAAAGGCTCTTTCTGATTTTTAAAATTTTGTCTTTTTTTAAATATTTCATTGTTTTCAATCAGACCCAGCGTGTTTGTCCACAAAAGATAATGGCGTTTTTCTCAAAAGGACTCCCTCAAATACTCAAGTAGCAAGCAGGAAAAGTCCTGGTCTCGAGACCATACGATATCCCAAGAAAATTAATTTTGACTCTAGAGGTAAGATATTATTATAGTTATCATCAATTAGCAAGACTCATATTGGCTCTACCCAACCATGCTCTTCAAATCTTAATCCTGGTTCTCCCCACCTAACCTCCTCTGGAGGTCAAAGAGAGGCTGGCTGGATCTAAATGCTGTATATGGCTGGGAAAACTAATCCCCAAACAAAAACTTACTATCTGAAGAGTAGGCTAGAAGTCAGGGCAACAGCCAGGCCCATGAGTGAAGCGATAGGGCAGACTGTTCACGTTTTATTCCCACGGGAATAGATTAAAAAGGGGATACTGCCTGAGATTCCCAGCATCAAATGTCAAATCAACTCACTCACCTTGGTGGAAGAGGTTGGGAAAATAAGGAGTTTGCAGAAAGGGATCAGAAACATCTTTATAAGTGGGTAAATTACATCACAACTTTGCCAGTCCAAGGCTAGCCCTGAGCTAGGATAAGACAGAAGTGGGATAAAATAACTTTTAATGGTTCCCAAAGAAATTCCTAACTATTAAAGAAAAAAAAGAATGAAGCCGTCAGCTGAATCAAGGCTGAAGCAGGGAGGAACCTTGCTTTGTCCCCAAATGACCTAGAGCTAGAAGTCAGTGGCAGAACCAGGGAGTTCCAGGCCAAATGAGGAAACCCAGCAAAACTCAGCACCATGTCTCTCTGGGGCTAAGAGGGCGGCATTCAGCTCAACAAATGTAGTCAGTCCTCAAAATTAAGCCACAGCCAACTGAGTAGAACTCAATACATTTCTCCATACTAAGATATTTCGAGTTTTCTTTATCCCACAAAAATTCTTCTCCCCTCCCAGTTTCTCTTACTGCAATCTCTCTGTATGGCCCCACCCCTTTCCATTCTTCACCTGGTTATCATCTCGGTCCATGCTGGCATCATCTCTCTTGAGAATGAATCTCTGTTGAAATTCTGTATTCTTCTCATCCTTTATATGTTCCGAGAATCTCTGTTCAGGGCTGGTTTGGGAGAGAAATGTAGAAAGAAGGAAGGAAAAAGACCCTTTTGTTAGGAAGCAGACCTTCTAGTATAGCACTCTTAAAAATTCCACAACTCTCCCTCAAGGGATTTCTGGAGTCACACATCCACAAAGCCACAGTGAAATCCTCAAGGTCTATTCTTTGTAAGCTGTCTTCCTCCAAAGTTATATCTGTCCTATCAATAAAGGTGAAGAGACGCCAGGGGCCAGCCTTCATAAAACACAAGTGCCTCCTAGAATCTATCTCTAACTCCTCACAAAGAGTAGGAATTGATAATATAACCCTCCACATTGTCCCCTCCCCAGAAAGAGACATCTTGATCCTACACCTTCCTCTTCCACGCTAGAGGCTATCCCAGGAAAGTCTTCTAATCTCTTTCCTCCCTTACATTCTTGTGTTACTGGTTTTGTTGATGATGACAGCTTTTCCAGTTTGATCAACATTGTGGTCCATCCCAAAATAGGCAGCTACCCGGTGTAATAGCATCCGGTGATATGAGGTCATCTGAGGGAACTTCTTGAACTGGTTACTAAAGGGAAACCAGGGGGCGGGGAAGTGAAATAAGGAAAAACAACAGTAATAATAACCAATTGTAATTTTTCTTACAAGTGTCTAAAGTGGAGAATTTCTTAAGAGGAACAGACTTATTATAAGGAAGATAGATCCTCACTCAATGGGAACCAAAAAGGTTCTCTCAGCTTCTTTATCTATAGCATTTTGTAGATCACTCTGATCCACTATCCTCATTAAGACTATTCCTAGGTTTCCCCTTCCTGTATGGTATTCTACAAAGAAAAAAGGGAGAATTTGAAGAATAATTAAATATGGGACAAGGGCTAGCTACTGAAAAGATATCAATTCTTTTCAACTCAAGTCTATGCAATAACTTAAAAACCTTGCTTGGTTTTCACAATATACTTTTTAATTCATTCTGATTACTTCTCCCCAATTTCTTTTGGTTCCCAGTGAGTAATTACTTCAAAATTCAGACTTCAAGGGAAATATGAAAGGGGGATATCCTAAAGTTGTACCTAAATTTCTTTTCAGTGCCCCCTCCCACCTTTAAATGTGTATTTCATTCAAGTAACTTACTTGTTGTCATTAATAAATTCCAGAATCTCCTGTTCTAATTTTAGCAGCATCATTCTGTCCCTGTTTAGAAAAGATTAAAACAAAACAAAACAAAAAGCAGCCCTCCCATAGACATTGAAAGCATTGAAACCTGCACACTACAGAAGCTGAAGGGAGGAACAGATCCAACCCCCAATAGCAGACCAGTAACGTAGACAGACCTCACGGGCCTGTCTTATATTACTTTAAAAAAGAAAAACAATCAAGTAGAGAAACAATCATTTTGCAGATCCTCCTAATCATGTACTTTGTTTTCCTTATCAGAAACCTAATTCTGCTGGCAGCTATGTTCCTTTAAACACATACTTTACACTTATAAAATCTAATCAGTAGTCTACATTCTATCTGGTTATAGATGTATATTTAGTTTTTATACATATCAATGTTTTTTCCTGTACTTTTAAATCATACTCCCAAGACTTTAGATTTCTTTGCCTCTGCATTCTCCTTCCACAGAATTTGTCTCAACTCTTCTGAAAGCAGACACCTCAACACGAGGGTACTATGAATCCCTCGCAGAATATAAAACTATACTGGAGGGAAATGGTGGGGGAGGGGGGTGGGAATCCTAGATTCGAGTAATGGAAAAATTCTGAGAAGCTGCTTGACCTCTTAGGTATTCTGCTGGGCCCTGCTATCCCCCTTCCATCAAATAATGTTTTTACCTTGGGTTCTTTTTCAGTGTATTTACAAGAAATTCATGTAGGTCTATTCCAGTGGAGTCTGTATATTCTTGGCTGGAGTCTAGAACCACCACAACAAAAGAAATTTAAAATAAATGAAACCACCTCACATGAAATCTAATCATAAGCAGAAGCCCACAATTCAATGAGGGTTTTAGCTTAAAAACCAGAATGATGCTTGATTTACCAGCTCCTGCCCCAACTCCCCATGACAATGATGGAAGGTAGAATCTGGGTCACAGTGTTGCATCAGTATTACACTGAAAAGCTTCCTGACTATAATTAAAATTTGCTGAATGTTTTAACCAAAACAAAGCAGATTTTATTCTAGTTAAAGAAAATAAATTCCAGGTAAGAGCAGTTGGGGCTGAATTTTCCAGAATCTCAGCAAACGGCTTCAAATGTTATTTATTATTTATTTATTTATAAAAATTTAATCCCAAGATTGCCTTTTCCTCTCAACTATAACTTCTATGGAGCAGGTATTTTTGCTACCAGCCCAAGAGTTTAAAACCACAGACAGCTTAATAATTAGATACAAACCTGATTAAAAAAAAAAAAAAATCACTCTAAGCATCCCCAAATCAAAATATAAACGGTATCTGGAGGATCTGCTACTAGTGATGAATCATGTCACTACTTATTCCACAGCAGAAATAGAATCAGAATTAACTACGATGACTTCTTATAGACAGTGCCAACATTAACAGAGTAGCTCTCTATAGCATGTTAGCCCCTAAGGCAGGGTTGGCTAAATCAGCAAAGAAAGTAACCTACCTAGTTAGGCACCTCCCCAAGTCAGCAAGACACTAGGAACTGTTGGGCCAGTAAGGTCAGCAGGTTCCAAGATGGAAGGAAAAGACACTACAGAGCACTACATAGGACACAAGAGAGGTGGGGAAAGTCCTCACCTCTAGAAAGCATCTTCCTTGGGACCTTTTCTTTGTTTTTCTCCTTGTCTTCCTTTTCAGAGACATCTTTTGTGGATTTTTCTTCCTCTTTGTCAGAGGGGCAGCTGATGTGCAACTGAATTATATCCTTAGACAAGAGAAAAGAGGAATATTATCAAAGGGGGAAAAGAATTTCAATTCTCCCACAGGATTTTACTCTCCCTTGAAATGTCATAGAAGGGAAATCTTGAGTTACAGAAGATAGTATTTTGTTGATTAAATTGTCTTAGTTTTTGTTCTACCAAAAGGGTGAAAAGCCAAGCCTTTTCTGCCAACGATCACAGCCACTATATGGAGAGCTCAAGTTACACTGGCTGTTCTTGGCATAGAAACTGGACAGATACGGTTCTAATCACCAGAGGGAAAAAGTGTGGGTGGGAAAACAAGATTCAACCCTGGGATCTCCTCATCTGCATCATCTCAGGTGGTCCAGGTGTGAAGACCTATGCTTCATGTTCTCACCCATGCACCCTGCTTTACCACAACCACCTGTTTTGAAGCCCCTTCTACCCTGGTTTCCAGGCCTAATGCTGATGCTGTGGTTGTTACACTACAGTTTACCAAACAATGGCCAAACTCAAAAGTTACACTTACTCTTATAAAGGACATACCTGGGTTTCCAGTGGCCCATCAGCAAAAGGGACAGAGGACTCCTCACACACTGCCAGGCTGCGCACCAACTTCAGCTTGGAATTAGACTGAAACGAACAAACAAACAAACATATATATATTACTCACTTGGTGGACATTCAGAAAGCTTTTCGCTGAACGAAGGGTATCCTCTTTGGCTCTGTTAGTTGCTGCTTCCATTAAGTACAGGTTTTTTTTGTTTTTCCCTTCAAACAGGCCTTACTCGCCAGTTCCTGATTTACTTCAAAGATAATTCCCCTGCTTACATTAGTAGACATATAAAAACAAAATGGCTACCTTGAACAGATGATAGGAAAACCACTTCACTTAGCTTTCTCTACCTCCTTTCTCTACCAATTTCAGATTCAGAGGTTTACTGAAAATATACAGTAGCAGAGCTTAGTAGATACTGGATTTAAGAGCCAGAAGTCCTAGCTTCAACTCCTGCTTTTGTGCTCATGAGCTATGAGGGACCCTGAGCAAACTACTTGACCTCTCTGGATCTCTGTTTTTCCCTCAATGAAATGGGGATAAAAATACTTAAAGGATGGCTTGTGAGAATTAAGTGACATAAACTATGTTAACAAAGTGCCTAGAACAGAGTGATAATAAATGCTAAATGACTCTAAACCTGAGGTGGCAAGGGTATGGAAAGAAGTGTCTGAAAAGAGTAAAGAGAAAGAAATTTTTATAACATTTGGGATTTAACGTGGTAAGAAGCTAATGCACTTGGTTTACTTTCGCTGGCTAAAGAATACTTTGCAAATCATTGCTCTCCTAAGGATCCCCAAAGCCAAAAATTATAGAATTGACTCACTGGAAATCTACCTATAAACATTTACTAAGAGTTCTTATAATAAAATCAAGGTTTACAGTAAATATAATAGCACAAAACATGGCATGTGTGTTCTGGGTTGTGCAGTATAGTGCAAAGAACTCACAAGTCTGCAGAACTGACTTCAAGCCAAGTTCTGCCACTTACTAATGAATATCTTGTCAAATTCACTCAGTCTCTATAAACCCAAGTTACCTAATCTGTAAAATGGACATAACAACTGTCTTACTTATCTCAAAAAGCTTGGGTGGAAATTAAGTAGAAGTGAACACCTTCTGTTATAAACTTTAACATCAAGCCCATCACTGTGGATTTAGGCCATGTCAGGCAAAACACAGACTCAATTTATCCTATGTGTGGTGTTCAAATCCAAGCCACATACTGTCTGAGCCACTCCCAAATTCTGCCATTGCTTTTTTGGGGGGAAAGGGGGTGGGGTAGACACCCTTAATTATTCCTCTGGTGACAATTCTTCTCACTGCAAGAAAGGGTTTTTTGGGTTTTTTTAAATTTATTTTTTATTATTTTATTTTATTTTATTTTATTTTATTTTTTATTTTTTATTTTTTTTAACATTTATTTATTTTTGAGACCGAGAGAAACAGAGCATGAACGGGGGAGGGTCAGAGAGAGGGAGACACAGAATCTGAAACAGGCTCCAGGCTCCAAGCTGTCAGCACAGAGCCCGACGTGGGGCTCGAACTCACGGACCGCGAGATCATGACCTGAGCCGAAGTCGGCTGCCCAACCGACTGAGCCACCCAGGCACCCCTATTTTTTTATTTTAGAGAGAGAGAGAGAGAGAGAGCGAGCATGTGTCAGTGGGGGAGAGGGGAATAGGGAGAGAGAAAATCTTAAGCAGGCTTCACACTCAGCATGGAGCCCAGTGCAGGGCTTGATCCCATGATCCTGGGATCATGACCTGAGTTGAAATCAAGAGTTGGACACTCAAGTCACTGAGCTACTCAGGTGACCCAAGAAAGGTTTAATATTTTATTGTTCCCTCAACTAAAATTAAAAAGCCATCACACACTAACACATATAGTCCTCCTTGATAACGCTGCTCAAAATAGTCTGTGATGTGCTAATTTTATCAAAAAATGATTAAAAACAAAATCCTCCTCCCTGGCCCAACCTAAAAAGTACCCCCCCCTCCGCCCCGCCAAAGGCTGTATTTTTAGGATGTCCAAAACTGTTGAGTCATTTCTACTAATGGTGCAGGATTTATCTTGAAGGGTAAACGGGAAAAAAATGTTGGAGGGAAAAATAACACTCATAGTACTCCTAGAGAAACCAGAGGTGAGGAGAGAAACTGGCTTTCCAGCAGAACCAGTACCAATGTGCTCAGGCTTTGTGACAGACTACAGCTGGGCATCAGAAATAGACTGTGGCTGAACTAAAGGTAATGGAGAAAAATAAAGCCAGACCCTCCAATAGGAAATGTGTGCATGTGTGTGTGCACATTCACAATTAGAGTATAAAGTGCAGGCAGAAAAACTTTGCCTATATATAATCCAAATAAAGTAGATATTGATGATAAGTCCATTGTGAAATGTATTACTAATAACAGTAGAAAAGAAGCTACAGTAGTCCCCTCTTATCATCTGGGATACTTTCCCAAGACCCCCAGTGGAGGCGTGAAACTATGGATAGTACTGAACCCTATATATATTATGTTTTTTTCCCTATACATACATACCTAAGATAATGTTTAATTTATAAATTAGGCACAGTAACAGATGAACAATAACAACAATAAAATAGAACAATTACACTCTAATAAAACTTACATAACTGTGGTCTCTCCCCCCCCACCCAAAACATCCTACTGTACTGTACTCATTCTTTTTCTTGGGATGATGTGAGATGATAAAATGCCTACATGATGAGATGGAGTGAGGTGCATGCTACAGGCATTGTGACGTATCAGTAGGCTACCAATGAACTTCTGATGATATATCAAAAGGAGGATCATCTACTCCTGGACTATGGTTGAAGTGTGGTAAGTAAAACCATGGAAAGTGAAACCTCAGATAAGGGGGGACTACTATGTAGAGAAAGGGCTCTCACCTTGGCTCTTTTCCTGGCATGACCATGGCTGGATGTCCGCCTCTGTTACAAGGGGATTAGAAAATATTAAAGGTGTAGAAAATCAGCACTTAGGTTAAAAACAATACAAGTTTACAAAGAAAAAGCATTACAGTAGCTAAACTATGATGAGAACCACTTGGTGTAGTTGTCCCCCCGTCCCCCTCTGCTACAGCCCTAGCAACTGTGACACGGAAGGGACCATGGGCCACCTATAGCACATCACCACTTACCATGAAGAAAATGAATAGGAAGACACTTACTGGTTAGCCTTCACAGGTTAATAAAAATTACTTTTGGATAAGCCACAGAATTCTCTCTTAATTAGGAGGCTTCTGGAAATGTCACTACCATAGCACTGACAGAGTGCTTTTTCCCAAGCATGATCACAGGAGCCTAGTTAACCCATAATGAACAGGCAATATGGCCCTTAATCATCACTTATTGTAACATCTTTATAGGAAAACACATTCAGAGTTCCAACTTGAGATACTCAAAGGACCTGTCCCTATGGCTGCTGATATGGAATGAAGACACTTCTTGCCAAATGTCTCCCTCACTGAGGATGAGAATCCTCCCAGTTCTAAGCACCTGGTTGTGGCTCTTATAGCCTGTCTGGGACAGGATAAAACTAAGGGAGCATGGAAGATATGGACAAGACTTCCAGAGCAAAGGGAGGGTAAAAAGAGTGGGTAAGGAGCAGAATAGAAGCTGAAGAAGATGAAGAATGAGGGCCTGTGGTAGGATGAGGGAAGAAACAACGAATTAATTGATAGGGTCTCTGAACAGCTGCAAAGTCAAAATGGGGGCTTTTGGGAAGAGATGAGGTAGGGTTATGTATGGGATGAAGTACCTAGGGCTTCTCAGATGTTCAGAATGGAACTCACTGCCACTGAAGTATGGACAGAACTGAGGTTAGGTGGCGAAGGGAAAACAAGACAAAGGCAGAGTACCAGTAGGGTTCTGGGTAGGTGAGGATTTCTTTCCTTTTTCCTCTTCACTAGTTACCAAACAACACTGCCACAATGCAAAATGGAAAATCAGGAAGGCAGATGGAAAAAGTAAGAAATGATGGTGAGTCTGGTCAATGTAAGAGATGTCACAGTAAGGGAAGAGCCATAGTCCAGGAATGTGTCAACTGTTTCTTCAAAAAGGTAGTAACATACACAGAGCACAAACATTCAAGAGGTATAATGGGGGTATATATAATAAGTCTCCTTTCATATCTGTCCCCCAGCCACCTGGTTCTCTCCTAATGACTCAAGTAGTACTGACTTTCTTGTCATCTTTCCATATATCTTTCATGAATATGTAGAAGCTTATTGTACATGTGCACACACAGGCTTTCTTTTTTTTTTTTTTTAAACCAAATAGATGTATATTGTACACACTGCTCTGAACCTTGCCTTTAAACTTTTTTTTCACAGATGTTATTCTATGGAAGATCTACTGCTTTGCTTAATGTCTAATATGGTATTTCACTCTGTGGCTATCCCATAACTTATTTTACCAGTTCCTTAAATCATGCCATTTAGGATATTTCTGATCTTTCGTTTGTATAAACAATGCTTCAATGACCACATCATTAAGCACATCTACAAATACAGTATATCTGTAGTCCAATTAAAAAAAATTTTTTTAATTAAAAATTTTATAAAGTATTGCCAAATTGCCCTTCAAAGAGATTATTCCAATTTATAGCCTTACAAGCAATGTATGAATCTGCTTACTTCCCAGAATGGATAGTTTTCATTTCATTGTCAAACACGTACTTAAAGTCTAATATGTACCAGGCACCATGCTAACTACTGGAGGATACAGAGATAAAAAACACAAACCTTGTCCAAAAGGGACTCATAATCCTGTTGGAGAAGACAGACAAATAGACAATTACAATACAGTACAAATGCATTCCAGAAATAGTTATGCAGTGCTATAGGAGCACATGGTGCAAGTGTCTAACCCAGACCTAGTAATTCACAAACACATACATTCACAGATATTGAGTGCCTGCCAAGAACTGTGTGGGCCTTAGAGATACAATGGTGAGCCCAAACTGACCTAATCCTGGGCTTCACTGAGCTTATAGTTCTGTGAAGGAGACAGAGATAGGCATTACTCAAAGAATTATATACAGTGTAGACCTGCAATGGGTGATTAAGGTTGTCAGGGAAGGCTTCCTGGAGAAAGACACATCTCAACTGAGTTTTGACGGATAAACAGGTATTAGACAGATGCTGGCATGGGAGGTTCAGGCGTTGGAGGAGGCCAAGAAAAGAATACCACATAAGGCATTCTACGCAAAGAAAGCATGCTTTCTCCAAACTTTTCAGCTCTTACTTATAACAGGGACCAATGAATCAGATAACGCCGATGCACAGAATGCCAGAGGTGGATGGCCAGGCAAGGGACTAGGTCACAATATGCCATGCTGACAAATCTGGGTCTTGGCCTAGGACAATGAGACACACAGAACGTTTGAAAAAAATGAACATAATCAGATCTCTATTTCATGGCCATCTGTATAAAGCAGTATGGTAGATGAATCCAAAAGGATCACAAATTTGAAGGCAGAAAGCCCAGCTAGAAGGTCACACTCAGCTGGTTGGCTGAAGACAGGTGTTACGTCAGGGTTAATTTGCCCATTCAAAATTCAGTCTCAGAACCTGCCTTTTATAGCACTGTTTGCATATGAAAGACGTTCTGTGTTCCAATTGCTGATTCTAATAATACATCTCACACAGTGCAAGTAATGAAAGTCCTCTTTCTGCAAACTTTCTAACTCCAACTTCATAAGAAGCACTCCCTTGACAGCATCAGTAAGACTCCTGGGGAGACTTCCAGGGTATGAGTCGGTGGGGAGGGGCAGGGAAAGGTAGGAGAAAGAGCAGAATTTTTAGTGCTCTTGAAAGGGCACATGATCTGTTGGGAAATGGCGGAGGGGAGAGGGCTTCTGAAGGGTGGGACAAGACTAAAGACTTCTAGAAGGATCAGGAGCTCCAGTAGATGGCAGCAGCAGCTCCACCTGCTCCAGCAGCAGCAACAAGTCAGAGGGGAGGCGAGTTCCCTTCCAACCTCCGACACGATCTATTTGTATATCCAGGTGAAAACATTCTTGAACTGAGTGTCTATAAGGTGTGTAACACCTGTACACATCCCTTCTTTTCTGCCTATCTTCAAGGAGTACACACAACAGGAGTTCAGAACACCTCTTCAAGTGGTCTCCTTAGAATAACTTGGATCCAGAAGTTCATTTAATTACTACCTTCCATGTAATATGACAGCACATAATTAAACATTCATCACTTATCTGTCCTGAGGATTTAAAATTCATTATTGGTATCAGTGGAGGCTGAAAGTATAGCTGGAACGGTGGCAGACTGTCTCTACAAACTCTGGGAGGATGGGCGGGGAATGACAACTCAGATGCAAAAGATAATGGAAAGAAAAGCAGCCAGGACAGAGATCTGGCAAGCTGTTAAGTGGAAAGACAGTAGAAGAACAGGCAGCAGGAGAACAAAATATTTCAGAGAGCTGTCTGATTTTAATTCATCCCTTTATGTTGTTGCTGTTTTAATCTCTTAAGAAGAAAAAGCCTAGATGAATTGGGTTGTCAAAAGAAATTATGTTTCAAGTTTCTAGTGGTTGCCACTGCTTTTTAAACTAACTTCTTACTGTCTATCTCCTAAGCATACAATAAAGACCAGTCTAACCCCTGGGCATGAAGGAAAGGATTTATATAATCTGGATCTGGGTAACACAGGAAACTAGCAGTGACCACAGAAAAGAGAGGACTGGAACAGGTAAACTAGAGGCTCAGAGTCTTAGCTGTCTGGGTATCAAACAGGAGCCCTGGAGGAAGCTCGGCTGGCCATCTACTGCCATCATATCTGCACTGCACTACGAATCTGGAGGGAAAACAACATGGCAACCAAAGAGTGAAATTCTTCTCACTCACTTAGCAAGTGGCAAGTTCAGAGATTATTTCTGACCCAGAAAATGCTGACTGCTTTAACACAACCAGGATATGAATTTAACACTGTGTGTAAAGCCAGGCAGCTGTAATTTTAAGAATTTATTGTATGAGCCATATTATGACTTGTTAAATAATGTGTATACAGTTTATTTTTTGATAGTTCAAAAATATCAAAAGGTAGCAAGAACCAGTGTAACTCAGGTCCAAATGGATTAGGAAATTACTCTGTCTTCTTTAGACTTCACTGTGGACATTTTATGATAAAAAAGGAAGGAGACAGTTCTTGAAAGCTGGAAAATAGGTTTTTAGGAAGAATCAAGTGACTGGCTTCTTACAGACGGCCAATACCACTTATGCTGACCATTCTATTCTGGTATAATGAGTGTGCATATGATGTACTTCTAATTCTTACCTGTGTCTCCTGACGCAAACTAGTATCTTCACTCTCTTTCTCAGTTTCTTCCTTACTTGGAGTCTTAGATACAAACTTGTTTTTGTTTACAGATTCTTCCACCAGTTTTTTTTCTGATTCTTTCATTATTTCCAGGGTCTCTTGAGTAGTGTTACTGTTAGACATCTTCTTCGATATAATACAGTAGCCTCTATGGACTCCTAAAGAAACATCAGACGCATTAAACAGGAAGTGTTTATCCATACACACAAGACTTGTATTTCACACTAGTCTGCAGCAGTCACCCTGTAACCCAGAAAAGGGTCTCTGAATAACTGCTGCCCCTGGATTAATTTCTTCTTTTAAAAAAAGCTTTATTGAGGTAGGGGTGCCTGGCTGGCTGTTGGTGGAATGTGCAACTCTTGATCTTGGGGTTGTGAGTTCGAACCCCACACTGGGTGTAGAGATTACTTAAAAATAAAGTCTTAAAAAAATAATAAAAGCTTTATTGAGGTAAAGCTGGCATATGATAAACTGCATATATTTAAAACATACAATTTAATTATGAAACATGCACACACCTGGGAAATCATCATTACAACCAATGTAGTGAGCACATTCATCACCCCAAAAGTCTCTGGCTCTTTTGTAAGCCCTTCCTCCCCTCTCCATCACCCACAGCCTACCACTGATCTGCTGTTACTACAGATTAGCCTTCATTTGTTAGAATTTTACATCACACATTACCTGGATTCTTTTACCCAGCATAATAACCTTGAGATTCACCAGGAGTCAATTCTGAAGCAATGTAGTATGAGCCCTCTTAGCATTTTATTTGCCCCCCTTGTTTGCTACAGAAATCTGCTCACATTTTCAGCTTGAGCACATGATAGAGTTAACTCACTAGACTCTCTCCAAAAAGAAGAAAAACACCATAAAGCTCTATTCACCACCAGAGAGGACTACTCTCCTTTCCCAAGGGAGAACTTCCACAGTTACCACAAACCACAACAATGTTACCAACTTCAAGTGTCTCCCCCACCAAAAAGCAGCAAAATCAGGAGATGGTTTATAAATTCTTAAATTCTTTCCTTTAGCTTAAGCAAACTGAAGGAGTAGCGAGCTTTGTGGTCAGCTGTCCTTTATAAAAACTGGGTCTCTCCCTGAAGGAAGAGAAAATCTTTGCTTTGTTATTCACTATTTGTTCAGTCATTCTACAGTCTCCCAATGATACAGAGCATCCATACTGCAGGGGCGGCCAGCTCTTCATTACTGTTGACACCTGGGAAGTCCTGTAATGAAGTCAATCAACACAGTAATCCACGCACACACTCAAACACAAGTTTGCTGAGGTTGCTCCTTACATAGATTACAGACTACTTCAATTCTGAATGCTTCTTTCCTTTCTTTAAAAAGAGAAGACTAGGGGGGGCACCTGGGTGGCTCAGTCGGTTAAGTGTCCGACTTCAGACTGGGTCATGATCTCACGGTTTGTGAGTTGGAGCCCCACATCGGGCTCTGCGCTGGCAGTGTGGAGCCTACTTGGGATTCTCACTCTCTCCTCTTTCTCTGACCTTCTTCCACTTGTGCTTTCCCTCTCTCAAAATAAATAAACTTAAAAAAAAAAAAAAGATAAGACTAGAAACTCTCCCAGACTTCATATCTATTCCATGTGGCCTTAGAAACAGAGCCAAACAAATAGCAATGATTCAAGAAAACTGTCACACCAGGCATTTTTTCCTCCTTCAAATCAGTTTAAATGGTAAGACCCTGAAGGCTCTTAAGAAGCACAGGTAATCTCATCCTGGCATAAGTTAAACAGTCTGCAAGATTATTGCTTTGTTCACCTTGTGGTGACTCTTGGGCAGCTGCCTAGAGACTTAGTTGGCACAGGGCTAAATGAAGGCCCTTTAAAAGGCCAGAGAGTCATTCATACAATCACAGTCATACAGTTGAATTTAAGATGACAAATACTGGAAGAAACAAACTACACAATAAAATGGCCAATATTCTATTTTTTAATTAACTGGATCTATTACCTAGAGGATTCTATAAAAAGACTTCTACGAACACACGAAGCTTTATGGATCATTGGCTGTACATGGAGACTGCATATACACATATTTATTTTTTCTCCCATGGGTAAATCAGGCATCCATTGTCTCCAGTTTGAAGTGTAATAAAACCCAGCACATGCCTTTTCCATATCTCTTAGGTGGGAAACATCAATAGAGATCAGAATTGGAAGAGATCTTAAATATGACTTCATGCAATTTCCCCCCACCTCCCGATATCAGACCTCCTTTCTGTACCCTCCTGAGAGGAGCCTACAAGCCTCTCCGAGAAAACTCCTGGCACAGTATCATCTCACTACTTCTTAAGCAGTCTTAACTCTTATACTCTATAGTTTTTCCCTATAATAAGCTATAAATGGTTTCAATCTTGATGCTAAATCTGCTGCGGAGTCCCACAAAATTAAGTTTACTTCTTGTATCATGTAATTGACCTTGAATATTTTTCTTTTTCAGGCTTAAATAGCCTCAAACAGAGTTCTCTGTCAGAAAGAGAATGTGGCAGTTGGGGAGTGGGGAAATTGGATGAAGCTGGTCAAAAGGTAGCAGCTTCCATTTAGAAGACAAAACGTACTGGGGATGCAAAGTACAACATGATGACCATAGTTAATGCTGCTGTAAAGTATATTTGAAAGTTGTTAAGTCAGTAGATCCTAAAAGTTCTCATCACAAGGAAAAAAAATGTTTTGTAGCTACATAAGGAGAGGAATGTTAGGTAAACACTATGGTAATCATTTCATGGTATATATGTACGTCATTATGTTGTACACCTTAAACTTACACAAAACTATATGCTCTTTGTATCTCAATTTAAAAAGGGGGACAGTGAAACAGAAAAATATAAAGCGACTGGGTGTTTCTTTTTCTAGGTCTCAATTACCAAATAGCTGTATTTCTTCAAATCAGAATGACAACTTTGCAGCTCCTCTTCACACAGAAGTTGGAAAAGGCTCAACTATCTGGATACCTAGACCAACTTCAGTGTCCAAACACTGTTTTCAGCCAAAGCACTATGGGAAAAATCAACCAAACAAAAAAAAGGTCTTTCATAATAGTCACCCGTGGAATATGGTCATATATTCCAACTGCAGGGTTTTTAAAATTATTTATTTATTTATTTTTTTAAGCAGGCTCTATGCCCAATGTGGGGCTTGAACTCAACCCGAGATCAAGAGTTGCATGCTCTACTGACTGAGCCAGCCAGGTGCTCCCCAACTGCAGTTTTAAGGAGCTACATGGTTTTCTTCATTCATTGGGAAACAGAAAAACTCGAGCTTTAGATTCTTAAAAACACCCATAAGACAGTGATTAACGATCCATCCACTTTTAAGAATTTTGATAGGCATTTCCACTGAGACTACCAGCATTTAATGAGCTATAAAAGATAAAGTAATTCTTACTCCAGGGAAAATGCAAATAGCAGAGGAAGAGGTATCCTAGCACACCACTCAAATCTCCCTTTTCTTCCACACTTATAACAGTCTAGCCCAGATTTTCTTTTGGTGTTTGCCTTCCTCTGAGGACACATGATCAAGGAAGGTGACCCTATCCCTGAGCCCGAGAAGGTGGGCTAGATCAATTGTGGCAATTGTTCCCTTTTTGTGACTGGTTTGAGAAGGGACAAGTGACTCAATCATCACCAGTGAAATATGAGAGGACTTTGCCAGGTGAGTGGCTTCAAAGAAAGGTCATAAAAAAAAAAAAAAAAAAAAAAAAAAGAAAGAAAGAAAGAAAGAAAGAAAGAAAGAAAGGAAGGAAGGAAGGAAGGAAAGGCCATTCACTCTATTTAAAAGAAGAAAAAAAGCCACTAGAAAAGAATGGTTATCTTCTACTGAAGATAGTCTTGTGTGCAGATGATGCAGGACTGCAATATTCTATCAACTCAGAGGATGATAGAGCAGATAGAAAAAGCCTGGATCCTTGATGCTGAGATAGACAGAATTAGTCAACCTGGATGGTACCTCCCAACATGTGAGGTCATAAGTCTTATTATCATTTAAGCTCTTTTGAGTTGAGTTTACTGTTCCTTCTAGTCAAAAGCATCCTGACATAGTCAGAAATGGTAAGTGAAGAGAGACTATCTGAACCAGACAGAAGAGCCCAGCTTTAGAAGTAGAAATAATTGACAGAAAGATGATAATAATCAGCTAAAATTTTTGGAGTGCTTACACTGTGTCACTATCCTAAAGTGTTTTATGTATCCTGTTTAATCTTACAACAATCTTATGATACATATTTTATTATCACTATTTTATAGATAAGTAAACTGAGGTACAGAGAAGTTAAGTAATGTAAGGTTATTGAACTGGTAAATGGTAGAACAGGGCTCAAAGCCAGGAAATTTGACTTTAGCACTTGCTTTCTTAACCTTTATCCAATACTTCCACTAAGGGGACAGATGTCCAAAAACTAGGCAGAATGGAAAGTCCACCAGAGATACAAAGGAATCATGGAATCTCATAACTGGAAGGGGACTCAGAGGCATCCTCATTTACCTCCATCCTTCTACATCCATAGTCCTCAGTCAGGTTCCTGAATCATCAAGTCTGAAAAATGGTCGTCCTAACTGTTTGTATACTTTTAGTGAAGGGAAAGTCTTCTCCAAAAACAAACCTTTTTTGGGGGGGAAATTATAAAGAGGCAAAACTCATCTTCCTATTCTTTCTGCCACTGGCCCCAGTTTAGTTCTCTGTGTAAGTCATAAAGAACAAGCTTAATCCTGCTACCATGTGAGTCCCATATGGGAGACAACTTTATCTTCTTTTTCTAAATATTCCCAGCCTCTCACTCTCTCTCTTTTTTTTTAGGCATTATTATTTTTTAAATTTAAATCCATGTTAGTTAATGTATAGTGTCGTACTGGTTTCAGCAGTAGAACCCAGTGACTTATCATTTACATATAACATCCAGTGCTCATCCCATCAAGTGTCCTCTTTAATGCCCATGACTCATTTAGCCCTTTAGTCCTTCCTTCCACCCAACAGCCCTCCAGCAACCCTCAGTTTGTTCTTTGTATTTAAGAGTCTCTTATGGTTTGCCTCCCTCTCTTTTTATTTTTCCTTCCCTTCCCCTAAGTTCACCTGCTTATGTTTTATTTCTTAAATTCCACATGAG